TAAAACACAAAATGACAAGTGCTAAACGGGAAAACATTCATTTTGATCAGCATGGATACCACCGATTATGCTCGACTTACTTTTAGTTTGATTATTTGATAAAAAAAAATGGAAAAAAGTCATGTCAAATCAAAATCATGGCTTCTACATCTGCATATCTGCATCAATATACAAAAAACTTCACCAAACATAATTTTTTCTCATAATTATTTATTAGGCAATCAGCTTTATCAGTTTTAAACTCCAGCAAGACTATGGTAGAGTCAGAACTGAGCATTCAAAGACTGAGCATTCAAAGACCTCAATGTAATCAATCAAGATTTAGAAAAACTACAAAATTACAACTTCCCTGGTACAGTCAACTCTAACCCTTATATTGTACTTTTCTTCACCCTGGCAAAATACATTCCTTGATATGCCATATCACTCGCTATAAAAGGATTCTACAATAATTTGCAAATGTCATTGAATATTCTAAAGAGAGGCTAAACTAACATTAAATAAGAAATTCATTAAACAAGAATAATTCATTATCGTTACTCAAATAAAACTGTATTTGCTAATTTTATGCACATGCGGTTTTCCATCTTTTTCATTAGATAAACGCATTAATATTTTAAGCTTCTTTGCAAGAACATTAAATTACAAATGAATAAATGCATTTTCCTGTCTATAAGAGTATCAAGGGTATATTCTTTCCTTGTTTATAAATATTTATACCATATCAGACATTTCCACATTTCAAGCAAAATTGTAATAAACCAAGAGACTGAACTGCCCTACTTGCGAATTTCTTTTTTGTTGCACTGGCTCACTGAAGTAATATCTAGGGAATCTGAATCAGTTATCATCAACATGGTATTTTTGTTTCTTGAAATCAAATTCATTTCTAAGGTAAAAATCCAAGTCATATATTGTTCATTTTAGGCAACACTGTCTACAGTCCAAGTTTTTCAGGTATCAAATCTAAAAATAGTACCATGGGTACTGGGCTCACATGGTGTTAGTGAATGATGGCTAAAATGGCAGAAAATAAAAAAAATGGATGCAATTTTGCCAATTTTTGTGACAAAATTATTTCATACAACTATTCTTTACAGTGACATGGCTATTTACAATGCAGGACACCTGAAATTATTTGTAAAGCCAGGAAATGGGCCCCAAGTGAATTTCGCAAGACAAAAATGGCTAACTTTTTTCGAAAATAGGCGAGCTTTTGAACCAGGAGTCATATGGGAGTTTTCTGTGTTGATGTTGAACAAAAATAATTTAAAACGGGAATCCTATCGACAGAAGTTTTAAGGCAAATGGTCCAATTGGCCAAAAGTGGATTTCGCAAGACATAAGGACAAATCAATGTTGACTAAAATGGCTGAAGATAAAAAAACAGATATAACTTTTTGCCAAATTTTTGTAACAAAATTATTCCATACAACTACTCTTTACAACGACATGGGTTTTTACAATGCAGGACACCTGAAATTATTTGCAAAGCTAGGAAATGGGCCAAAAGTGAATTCTGCGAGACAAAAATGGCGACCATTTTGAAAATAGGCGAGCTTTTGAACCAGGAGTCATAGCGGAGTTTTCTACATTGATGTTGAACAAAAATAACTTAAAACGGGAATCTTATCCACAGAGGTATTAAGGCAAATGGTCCAAAAGTGGATTTCACGAGATAGATGAACAAATCAATGTCAACTAAAACGGCTGAAAATAAAAAAAAATGGATAAAAAATGTTGCCGATTTTTTGTAACAAAATTATTTCATACAACTACTCTTAACAGTGACATGGCTTTTTAAAATGCAGAACACTAACCTAAAATTATTTGTAAAGCTAGGAAATGGGCCCAAAGTGAATTTCCCGAGACAAAAATGGCGACAATTTTGAAAATAGGTGAGCTTTTGAACCTTGGGTCATAAGGGAGTTTTCTGTATTGATATTGAACAAATTTAACTTAAAACGGGAATCCTATCAACACAGGTTTTAAAGCAAATGGTCCAAAAGTGAATTTCTGGAGACAAAAATGGCGGCCATTTTTAAAATAGGCGAGCTTTTGAACCAGGAGTCATAGGGGGGTTTTCTATATTGATGTTGAACAAAAATAACTTAAAACAGGAATCCTATTGACAGAGGTTCTAAAACTGGCCAATTGTTAACAGACGGACAGACAGACGGACAAATGAGTGATTGCAATAGCTCACCATGTGAGCTAAAAAGGTCTAAATATGACAGAAATTAGGCCAAAAAACATCACAACATTACACTCTGTGAGAAGAGTCTACTTCTTCTTTTCAGAAGGTCCCTCCCTAAGAACCCCTTGATAACCCCCCCCCACCTTCTGCTATGTAGTCTCTTACCCTAATAAAGGTAAAGTAAAGTACTGGATTCTAAATGGTTAACTTCCATTCCCCAATGTGCCTCTTACCAATTAACATTCCACAGAATGAACATAATGTAGTACAAATCAACCCAGGCTCAAACATTTCTCAACCCCAACTCATTTAACAAGCCTCCACCTAAGATCAAAAACTTTCCTGATTTTCTAGGAATGCTTTAGAAAATAGAATGTTGATTCCATGACCAAATACCTTGATTTCTGGCTACTTCCTCTACTTTACACAGTATTAGCTGATGAGGAATGTTGACTGCTGAGGTTTGATAAACAGGATGATATACAGCTAAGCTGGAGTTAGGCCAGATGAATATTCTATTACATTATGCAAAATCATTGGAATAATATAAGTCATAACAAGGGAACATGCCTTATCTCTAACTCATATATTATGTTCTTCATGTTTTATGCAGATTGTAAATATATGCAAATACTTCTAAAGGTCGCTCTGACCTATAGATAAAACCAGCGCCTTTGTACTCTAAGATGGTCTGCATGTAGAATGTTTTTAATCTGTATCTCTAAATCTATCTTATAGGCAGCAAAGAGTTAGCAGAATGTCTATGAGCAAGAATATAAATAAGTAAGCTAGATGCTGGCTGTAGTAACAGATTATGTGCTTCAATTCAGGTGGGATTCAGCAGAAATTGATGCGTTGTCATGGTAACTAATGAAAATGCCATCCATATGAAAATCTATAGACTCTGTGAGTGTTAAGCTAAGAGGAGAAGCAATTCTACCATACACCTGAGCCTAATTTTGAATCTTGCTAATTTGTTGATGTAGCAACATTTTTCTTAATAAAACAACTAAAAAAACTTAATCGTAGATTATTAACAAAATTGAGAATTAACTTGATAAAAAACTTGCTGATGAGAATTTTATAAAAGAAGTTATTAAAAACCATCTGTATTCAATATTCAAAATTTATCACTTCATTTCATATCTTTATTATGTAGGTTTTATAGATAGCCTGCTCATTTACATATTTTATAAATAAATTATACTTTCTACCAGAGAATATAGATTATGCATGATTTGCATAACATAATTTACTGTATAATTATAGAACATCTATAAACCACATATGTGCAAATTCATAAAAAAGCGTTAATAATAATAATAATGCATGTTAGTTATACTAATTGTTTTTTCTTTAATTGAAGACTATTGAAGACAAGCAAATAGTCTAGAATTTCACCATTTGTAACTGAATACAAACAATGAGTTATATTGATTACCATTCCATTTCCCATTTTATGAGATATTTGTACTAAACTGCTTTATTCTAATCACATTTTATAAGCTCTTTAAAACCAACAAAGAGATGAATGTTTCAGCCTGTATCTTAATAGATAAACTCAAGCCTTACGGTATGTTGAGTAATGTGTTTCAATTCTACAGGCTGAGAATATAGAAAAATATTCAGGATCTGTGCCTGATGTATATTCCTAGTTAATATCACCAATATACTGTTTCAATGTAGACTCTGTAAAACAGGATTCCAATAAGCCTAACTAATGGGAGAAATGATTACATTAGCTGACTGATGCATTTATGCAAATGAGATTCATTAATGACATTTATTGGAAAGTTTTTATTAATCAAATGTTCCCCAATTATAATTTTACAATGTAGTATGCCCATATATAACAAATCAGATCTAGACATATTTATTGGCACAAGTATAGAATGATAATAATATTAGCAACAAGATTGATCTAGTATGAATTACAAATCTTGAACAGAACACCCTAATTATAGGTAAGCTTTCAGGTGATATTCTGCAATATCAAGTTAATTACTCTAAAATCAACAAGCTTTAGAAAATATAACAAAAGGCAAAATAATAACGCAATTGGGTTTGCTTTTGTCAGCTCCACCTTCGAGCAAGCGAGATATATTATTAATATGACACAGGATCAATGTTTCCATGGTAACAGGCTTTTGAGATAACCAAGTATTGATTAGTATATGTGCTTGTATAATGAGATAGATCCTAGAGCATGTTAATCAGCAGCTATAGAGCTTTGCTTCTCTAGCAATTTAATATGACGCACCAAACTTGGCTTTTTATCTGTAATGGAGGTTTACTTAGTCTGGTTAGGCCTATAACATCCTGCCTGCCTGTAAATAAACTTACAGATATCTAAATTCACCCCCAAAGGTACCAATTGAGTTATTAACACTTCTGATAGGAATGAACCTTTCCTAAAGCTTTAGACGTTGGCATGAGATCACTATATATATACCGGTTTATATGTTCATGTACGCATTAATAACCTAATTAGAAATTTTAATAAGCATATTCGTATTCATCATTATAATATGATAAATTACATTTTCATGGGATATGTTTAGATTAATCATGTTATTTGTTGAGCGAATAACAATGAGAACAGCTTTTTTGCATTTTATGTTAGCAAAAATGTTTGCCTAGTTGCCATATTGGAAACACAAAACAATTATGTATGCGCTATTGGTCTAATTATTCACAACAAAAGCCGGCCACTAAACACATGAACAACGAACATGCACATGTTTATAAATTATGCTAATAATAACATTACCACCAAAATAAATTATAGTAAGGCTCAACCTACCTTGATTATGCAGCTCTTGATGGTTAACGTAGTTCACCTACTGGGCCTCAGGATGAATCTATTTCTGTAGACTGTTTCCACACATACAGAATCCTGCAGCAGAAACCAAGAAATAGATAGAATAACACTGCACATGTGCCCAAATAAATTATGATAATTTATCATAATTTGCGGGCATTTCAAATGATCAAGTGATTACCAAACTTATCTAGGTCACAAGGGCTATTGATATATCATGCCAATACTTACTTTGTTCTCGAGGAATAAAGAGAATTAGTGTGGAAATGTACTGAATAGTCAAGTTTTCATTCTTCCTAGCTCAAATGTCAGGAAAAGGATGCATACACTAAGAGAGAATATTGTTTTCTATTTTCAAAATAATCAAGCAAATTTTTGTTTTATTTCATACATATTCATAGAAATGATTTGAACACTCAAATTAAAATTCTGAAACGCAAATCATTGAAAAATAGTTTGAAAGCAAATAGCATTAAAGATTAGGTCGAGAAATGCCATAACTAGAAAATAGTATAAGATATGCTCTTGGCCAAATTACTTTTTTCTAAAGAGCGCAAGAAATGAAGTCGAAAAATACGTACTCAGAATTAGATATTTGAAAGATAGATTATTCAATATTTAGCATTTTATCATTTTTGATAGAATTATTTTGTGAATGGTACGTACGTTCAAAAATTAACCGCGAAAGTATTTTCAGCGTAATAATATATTGGGAATTCCCATCTGATGACGTCATTTTACATCATGGCGGAAAAGGAGGAAACAAAACTTTCAGAAAACTCGGTAATTTTTGGCTGTTTTTGCCACAATATCATCATATTCAAAGTCGTGGTTGAAATTTAGAATACTAAATATTATTTTACAAACATTGAATTGAGTTATGAATCATTGCATCGAAGCAACGACAATTCTAAACAACATTTCTAGATATTTGATCTAAATTGTTGAAGTGAAAGTGAAACTGAATGATGGGTCCTGGTTATCCCGTACCAGGACTATAGTCCTGCAATGAGAGCATTGTTTTGCCTGTACGATTACAACATGGGAGAATTTTCTACGCTTCTTACTCTTAAGATACCTATTTCAATAGATTCCTTAGTATTTTAGCATTCTTTTCTTGTAGTTGAATCCACAATTGTCTGGGTTTATCGGCAGAACAAAGAAATTTTCGTTTTTAATCACAATATTTGCGTGTAATATTTAACTTATTTCAACCGTCAAATTCCTCCATTTTTGGTGCTTCCGGGCCACATCCGGGTCGGTCAAACGGGGAATCCCCTTTTAAATCCAACCGCCATCTTGGAAAGTGATGGAATATCTCTCGATGAAAAAGAACAATGTTCCCGTTCTGCCGATATACCCAGACAATTGTGGATTCAACTACACGAAAAGAATGCTAAAATACCCAGGAATCAATTGAAGTAGGTATCTTAAGTGTAAGGGGCGTAGATAATTCTCCCAAGTTGTAATCGTACAGGCAAAAGAATGCTCTCACTGCAGGACTATAGTTCTGGCACAGGATAAGGTCCTGGCAATCTACTATACATGTATTTCCTATATTTATACCTAATACCAATAGTTCTGGAAGAAGGAGTTGCAGAATGATTTGAAATGCAATACAGGATATATTGTGCTCGCGAAATTCTGTATTGACAGGAGAAGAAGTCGAGTTTTTATCTTGTGATCTTAGGCCAATCATGGGCTCTACCACCTGATAGAGCCCATGGGCCAATACATTTTACTTAGAAGATAATCCCTAGGAAATATATTCTGTTTTCTCTGTATTGGTACTGAGATTGTCCCCTCCGTACCAATATTTTCTGTATTGTTACAGAGATTATCAATGGGGACTGACTATCTCAGTAGCAATACAAATTGGTACAGCACAAGGACTAACCAATCAGAGGGTCATTTTACAAATCATAGATAAACCCAAGTACTAATGACTTGACTAGGCTACATGTATTTATATGGCTTGGGCCACAGATTGTTGAGGTCCAGACTTCTGTTAATGTGTTCAATATATAACGTACATACAGTGCTAACCATAACCTGGATTTGCTGAAGTGAAGATTTCCCATGTTAGAAGAGATGGGAAGAGAAGCCCATGATTATAATTACAAGATTAAATAAATTAGACATATTGAAGCAGTCATTTCAATTATAATTATAACGTGATTGTATTGCTTGTTTGTGACATCTTAGAGATACATATACATATTTTGATTCTTTTTACAAGGCTGAGGATGATGATGTCAGAAGAGATGAAGATGAAAGTGAGACAGAATCAGAGGAGTCAGAGGAGGTACATGCTTTATCTGTTACCTTTTAACTGGGATGAAGAATGTTAGTTGAGAGATTGGCATTCTTTTTTTCATTCAACTTTTTTATATATGTACAATGTAAATATTCTGATCTTCTACTTAGTATTGACTTCTTTTGGGTATTTTTACAGTAAGCTGATGATCGAGGGCTCTGTGATAGAAATTTTGCATGTACTTTTACGATGATGACATGACCAATCAGTCCATCATGCTACATAATATGATGAGTCTTATTCAAACTCTATGACTTAGGGTAAGTATTGTAAGATTTGTATTCTAATCAGATTTTGATTTTGTTTTTGTAGGAAGTGGAACCAAAGTTGAAATATGAGAGGATCGGGAATGACTTGTTAAACATCTTGACTAAAGATGCAGCTAGCTGTATTGCAGTTCATGAAAAGGTTGAGTATTTTAAATTGCAAATATGATCCCCATACCAGTGTACATGAACAAGGCAAATTAGGTTCCCTGTGTAAGACTTCTTTGTGTGCAGTCAGCAATGAATGTACATGTATATTGATTTTTAAAATGATCATATAAATTATCTATCAAGATGAGAAAATGGAAATAAGGGAGAAACAAAAATAGTTTGAACTTAGAGTAAAACCTGTGTATTTGAACACCTGGCAAATCCGAACACCTCCCAATCTGAACTTTGACTTTCATGCTAAAAAAAACTTTGAAATGTGAACACCTCACAATTTGAACAATGAACAGTCATATTTGAAAAATTAACCTGTCTAATCTGAACACTTTTCATTATATTTCACATGTTTCATACAAAATTGCTCAAATATTTGAAAGTTAAAGACTGATTTTTGGCTCACACAGTGAGCCTATGGGATCGACCAGGCGTCCGTCCGTTGGCCCATCCATCCGTTGGTCCGTCCGTCCGTTGGTCCGTCCGTCCGTTGGTCCGTCCGTCCATTGGTCCGTCCGTCCGTTGGTCCGTCCGTCCGTCCGTTGGTCCGTCCGTCAACATTGGCCGCACAAATTAAAACTGCTATTCGGATTGAGTCATATCCACATTCATTTTATGCATATCCATAATGCCTATTTGACCTATCATCGCCATCTCCCAAGTACGGCCGGTTTCCGAGAAATTGCGGATTTTGACGTCAAAATGTCAAATTTTTTGTAAATACTAGACACTTTGTTGAAGTAGAACTTTCAAATAACTTTAAGTAGTTGCTCTTTATGCAACTTATGTCCTCTGAAGATTTCAAAGCTCTTGGAATTACAGTTTTTTGTGTTTACTCTATAAAATTTGACAAAAAGTAGGACTTAGTCATTTTCAGGAAACTTTCTCATATATAAAGTCAATGGCAGGTTTTGTGATTGACAAGTTTCTCAAAGTTTGCCTTATACTTAATCATTTCTTGCAATGAATTACATCATTACTAGATTTAAGCATTCCCTACATATTGCTCAATATACATGTATGTCAGCATCAAATTTTTACAGTTTTTGAGATAGATGTAAAAAAACAGTAAAAATAAGTTATTTTCAACTTCAATTTGACCAAATTATTTTTTGAAAATCATCTGCAAGATGCCAGGAGCTCAAATCTGACATTAGTTTTAGGATTTGACCTTTACTTGACCTTCAGTGACCTTCGAAAGGTCAAAAAAGTTGATTTTTCAAATTGATTTTTGGATGTAAATTTTGGTCAGCTTAATCACAAAAGACCTTACTGAGCTCTGAATAAGTAAAATTTTCAAGGTCAAAGGTCATCAAACTAGGTCACACAACTGTGCTATCAAAGTTTATTTCTCAAAGTTCGAGACTACAAATCCAAATCAATATTTTTGTTTTAAAGTCAGGATATACATTCCTCTGAAGGTTCCAAACTGTGTGAGCACAGGACCATGGGTCGTATTTTTCATGATATCAAAACCTTTTGAAAAAAACTTGAAATGTCTCGATCATAATAGGACTTTTCAGCATGACTAATCAAATTTTCAAATTACTGGAATGCCATAACTGCATAAAGCTATGTGGTCAAAGTAATTATAAATATTTCTTCAAAATCCAGAATCTTGTGAATGCAAAAACATGGACATGTGAACACCTCCTAATCTGAACGCTTTTAGCCAGTTCCAATGGTGTTTGGATTAGACATGTTTTACTTTTCTTGTTTTTAGAATAACGGAAATTGTTTCTATTTCAGTTCTTAGCACTGGGGACCCACTGGGGCATGATCCACATCCTCGACCATTGTGGCAATAATATTGTCAGCAAAGAACTTCCAGCAGTAAGTGTCTCTCAATCAGATTCGCTTTCGGGTGTTTTTACCAAAACTGCCTGTTTTTGAGAAATTTTGTATTTTCCATGTGTTTAAAAATTCAACTTTTCCAATAACTTTTAAGTCACCACCACAAGTGGTGACAATACTTGTATTGTTATGGTCTCCAACTTTATTATAATGGCGTGCGGCAGTCAGCATTCGAAGTCTGTAACAAATGGCAGGTGGTGACGTTTTGCCTTGTTGCATGTGTTTCAACTTTTGCCTTTCGTTTGAATTTTCAATTATCCTATAAAGGCCTTTGAAGTGATCTTTCGCTAAACCAAAATTAACCTGGAAGTGCCTTAACCCCAATATATTCCTCTTCAGCACCAGACCACTGTCAACCAGATGAGCATTGACGAGAATGGCGATTTCCTGGCCAGTTGCAGTGATGATGGAAGGGTGGTGATAAATGGACTCTACACAAATGATAACAACCAAGTGCTCAACTTTGATAGGCCCGTCAAAGCTGTCTCGATGGATCCACATTTCTTTAAACATGGAAGTGGCAAGCATTTTGTAACAGGGGATGACAAGGTGAGGGTTTTCTTGGATTTGTTGAATGTTTTCTCATGTGAAGTCCTTCCTATTGAGAGGAGATACCACCAACAAAATGTATTAGGAACAGAAATTTTCATGTTAATTTTCTTTTCTTGCTATTAAGTATCTACAGAATGTGTAACATAATTCTGGGTCCTGGGTTGCCCATACCCCTTAAATGGAAATAAAGATACATGTATATAAAAATGTCTGGGGTTTATACACAATTAAATGTTGTATGACCTGTGAAGATCGAATAGATTATTCCATTAAAGCTCTCTGTAAAAAAGTATCTATTACTTATTGATCACCCCTCTTATATGAGATATATTGGTCACTGAATAATGTTTGTTACATTTATTTGTATTTCAGCTTGTGCTTAATGAAAAAGGATTTCTAGGACGTAATAAGACAGTAGTGCTACACCAAGGGGAAGGTGCAATAAGGAATATACAATGGAGAGGAAGCTTCATAGCCTGGGCAAATGACCAGGTACATTACAGTAGTCAACATTGGTGGAATTAAAGTTGGATACATTCTGGGTGTTTATGTCTTTAATCATACTTGGAAAAGGTTCAAGTTCCATATCATTAAATTCTACCCGCCTACATCCTCAACCACATTCAGTGTTGAATAAATGTGAATGATGACTAATAATTGATTGATAAATACATATAAATGTATAAAAAATCACCCCTGGAAATACCCTATATGGATATTGTTTGTATTTATGATGTTTTACTGATTTCTCATAAATGAGATCAAGGAAGATTGGCTCCCAGCTTCCACTTCGATATTTGACCTTGATTGACATTTTTCTGACATTATAACTGACTATATATTCATGATCAGTTATCCCAAAGATTTGAACTTTTATCTTGATCACTTTTTGTGTGTTTTGATATTTTTGTTTGGAAATTAAATAAATGAAGTGAAAAAATGGTGGCCGTTTGATTTTGAATTTTGTAATCACATGACTCCATATATGTCAGAATATTAAGCTGGAACCATGGGAGCCAATCCTCCTTAAAAGGTGATATCACTTTTTACTCATTTGAAAAGTAAGTCACATGTCCTATTTGTGAATATTCTTTCTTGTAGGGTGTTAAGATCTATGATATGAGCTCTAAGCGCAGAATCACCTTCATAGCCAGGGACAACCCAAAGTTGAGGCCTGAGTTATACAGATGTAACTTGTGTTGGAAAGATACAACCACTCTTCTGATAGGCTGGGGAGATAGTGTGAAGGTAAGGTGGAAATAACTTTCAAAAAATTTATTTATATATGAAAACCAGATAAACATATAGCAGAGTGAAACCTGTATAAAGGAGCAACTCTTGAAGAGGGACACTATAAAGTACTGTATCATTACGGTACCTTCAAATAAAATGAACCTCTGTACTGGAACTCCCCTCAAAGGAAACACTATTTTAAGGTTCTAAATGTGTTTCACTTTCAGTTTTACTACATTACAGTGATAAGGACACCTTAAACGAAAGGGTGTTTGACATGTCTCTGAATTTGAAGATTGTACTGGTTTAGTGTTGGCATGCACTTATGATTTTTCATAATCGAATCATAGTCATTTACTGAAGAGAAGGCCTGGCACATTAAATTCCATTTGACGGGTGGATTAAAATTCAAACTGCTACAAACTGTCAATGGTACATCTTTGGTGATATGTCTGTACATGTTCTCTAAATTGAATAATGTCATTCATATGGAAAAATCATGTATCATGAATAAATATTTTATCTTGCATTTTTGTACTTGATATATGTCTTCATCTGTGTTATGTGCCTGTTAAGTGTTTTTGGTTGTGAATATTTAGTGATCTTTTGTGCTTGTATTTAGGTGTGTGTTATAAAGGAGAGATTGTCCCATGATGCAAGAGATTTACCTAACAGATATGTAGAGATAGGTAAGGAATCCTGGGATAGTACTTTTAAATCAAAACAGGCATTTATCAGGAAATCAGAATAATGATGGTTTATTTTTGAGAATAGAATTAATAATTATTTGTCTTTAAGTGTGTCAAATTCCCTGTCTCTTTTAAGGGGTGTTATTTGAGCTTGTAAAATGAACATAGAAAGAGCTATGTGTGTCTTATTTCCAATTGATCTCTTATTTTCAGTTTCAATGTTCACCACAGATTTCTTCATCAGTGGAATAGCCCCCTATGGCTCTTCTCAGCTGATCTGCCTCAGTTTTGACATTGAGGAGGGTGCACAGGGAGAGGTAGGCAGGGAGCAATATTTCCAAAGCTATTTGCAACAATGTAGTCCAGAAGACGTCAAAGCTCTGTCTACTTTGTTTCATGCCTTTACTACTTAGTACTAATGCAGGGGTTCATTAGCAGCAGGCAACAGACGATTTTCACCAGTTGTTTTCACAAAATTGCCTGTTGTTTTGGGGGATTTTCAACTTTCCATGTTAAATTTATGATTTCCATTATGCCTGTTGTTTTCATATATTTAGCTTGTGTGAAAAATGCAAGTGAAATCCCTGCTAATGTATGAATGAAACAACTTTTCTCATATCCATTCATTTTTTAATTTTATTGGCTCACATACTGACACTACTGGATTTTACAGTTTCAAGTTTTTATTATCATAATATTATTTCAAGTATTAATTGACTTTGTTGTATTATCCTTGAAATATATTTGAAATCTGAAAAAGGTTACAAGAGACAAAGAGATAAAACATATTCTGAACTATAACTTCCCATATGTATTTTATAGGCTGGGAAATATGCAGCTAGTAGACCTCATTTAAGGATTATCGAACCCCATATGGACTATTATGATGAGTTGTCCAATGATGCACTTTCCATACGGGGGTTCCAAGAATACAGGTGCAATGACTATCACTTAGGTAAGTACATGAATTGAAAGTCACTGTTCAAAAGTTTTTTGCTTAAAAAGAGTCACATCTTTAAGTTTCCAATTAAATAAGACACACAAGGTTCTACATTCTACATTCATTGTGAAATCTTGATAAGTGCTGACAAATTGTTAGCAGTTTTTGTAATTAGCTTTTGATATCAGTATTTGGCTTTTTCTTTGTATTAGGATATATTTATTTCTCTATGAAATATTTATTTCTCTATGAAAAAACTCAGAAAAAGCGCGAAATATAGTAGCGCGCGAAAATTACCGGGAGTACAGTAATCAAAAATAGGGAGGGAAAAAAGTATTTTGCATGTGTAATGAATTTTCGTTATAGCAACCAGGTGGTAACATTTTGTCATATTAATCCCCATTTTCTTTTCCTTTGCTAAGATCCCCTTTCATGTTTTTAATACGGAGGAATCTGTGTTTTATATTTCAGAATGTGTTGTATCAGATAACATCTACTTCATAGTAAGTCCTAAAGATATAGTTGCAGCTAAGCCCAGGGATGAAGATGACCACATCACTTGGTTGCTAGACAACGAGATGTTTGAAGAAGCCATGGTTACAGCTACAGCTCATAGTAAAGACCTTAAGAAACATAATTTCCAGGTAAATTGTGTGTAGCCAACTCAGCTTAAAGTTGCAGATCTGTCTCAAATCTGTAACAACCACTATAATTATTTGATTTGGTATTATGAAGTATAACCAGAAGTGGTGACATATTGAGTCTTAATCTTTTTTGTGGATGCCTGGATGGTGGTTTGTGTTTGGCATTTGGTGTCTGTAACAAATGGCAGGCAGTGACATTTTGCGCGTTAAAGCCTTGTCTCAATTTCTTTTTTTAGAAAATGTAATTGAGATTATGTAAAAGACAAACATTGTTATGATTTGAATTTCTTTGCTCTTTGACCAAGCATGCACGTGTTCTTTGTAGCAACTTAACTGTGATTTGGCAAATTCCTGTTTCAGGATATTGGTAAAGCTTATTTAGCATACCTTCTTGAGGAACAGTCATATAGCGAAGCAGCCCAGCTCTGTAGCAGAATTCTGGGTAAAAGTAAAGATTTATGGGAAGAAGAAGTCTACAAATTTGCACAGATTCGCCAACTCAAGGTAATTTTTTCTTTTACATGGCTGCAAAAACCTGAATGAATGTGACCTCGCAATCATGTACATTGTGCACAAAATGTGGCTGCAGATTATTTTGTTTGTAACCCCCCTATCACACCAAACTAGTTCTTACCCGTTCTTGCCAGTCCTACGAAAATGTCGTAAAACGGGCTCGATCTAACTGCGGTTGGGATATATGTCTAAAATAATTAGCTTCTTCGTTCATAAACAGTCTTCAATACGTCCATCACGTTCGCAGTTCGTTCAGGTCGCACCACGTCAGTGTGCAACGTAGTATAAACCGTCCCTTAGTCTAGAAGGTCATCATGACCTGATTACAGAATGGTATGGTCGTCATCGAATTTTGAATCGATTCAAAATTCTAAATCACATACCCCGTCCGGGAAAGTCCATGAAGTTCGTAAACAGACCGTAGAACGTTGTAACTACGTTCATTCAGTTCGCACACAGTTGAAAACCGATTTGGCAACGTTTTGATGATCACCAGAAAATGTTGAGCATGCTCTAAGTGCTGGAGGACCTACTTGTTCTAGTAGTTTCATGAAGTTTGTAAACAGATCCCAAACGGTTCTTAGTGGGTTCTTAGTACGTCAAATCCGTTCGTGCACAGTTTAAGCCCATTTTCGAGAACGTAGTGAGAACTAGTTTGGTGTGATAGTAGGGTAACATTCATACCAAAATTACTTATCTTTTCCTATTCCTACATATTATTATGTCACCACCAAAAGTGGTGACATATTGTTATGGTCTCCGTTTTTTTGCGACGGCGTCCGGCGGTTGGTGGTTGGCGTCCGGCGGTTGGCGTCCGGCGGTTGGCGTCCGGCGGTTGGCGTCCGGCGTCTGTAACAATTTCTTACAACTTCCTATAACTTAACAAATACTGTTTAGACTGACTTCAATTTTTTTCTAAATCATCTACATGTTCTCAGAAGTTCAAATCTGACTTTAGATTTGACATTTGACCTTCAATGACCTTCTCAAGGTCAAAAAGGTCTTTTTTCAACTTGCTTCACATTGACTAAATTTTTTTTCAAAATCATCTACATGTTCTCAGAAATTCAAATCTGACTTTAGATTTGACATTTGACCTTCAAATCTGACTTTAGATTTGACATTTGACCTTCAATGACCTTCTCAAGGTCAAAAAAGGTCAAAAAGGTCTGTTTTCAACTTGCTTCAAATTGACTAAATTTTTTTTTCAAAATCATCTACGTGTTCTCAGAAATTCAAATCTGACTTCAGATTTGACATTTGACCTTCAATGACCTTCTCAAGGTCAAAAAAGGTCAAAAAGGTCTGTTTTCAACTTGCTTCAAATTGACTAAAAAAAAATTTCAAAATCATCTACGTGTTCTCAGAAATTCAAATCTGACTTTAGATTTGACTTAAGATTTGACATTTGACCTTCAATGACCTTCTCAAAGTCAAAAAAGGTCAAAAAGGTCTTTTTTCAACTTGCTTCAAATTGACTAAAATTTTTTTTCAAAATCATCTACATGTTCTCAGAAATTCAAATCTGACTTTAGATTTGACATTTGACCTTCAATGACCTTCTCAAGGTCAAAAAAGGTCAAAAAGGTCTGTTTTCAACTTGCTTCAAATTGACTAAATTTTTTTTTCAAAATCATCTACATGTTCTCAGAAATTCAAATCTGACTTAAGATTTGACTTAAGATTTGACATTTGACCTTCAATGACCTTCTCTAGGTCAAAAAAGGTCAAAAAGGTCTGTTTCAACTTGCTTCAAATTGACTAATTTTTTTTTTCAAAATCATCGACATGTTCTCAGAAATTCAAATCTGACTTTAGATTTGACATTTGACCTTTAATGACCTTCTCAAGGTCAAAAAAGGTCAAAAAGGTCTGTTTTCAACTTTCTTCAAATTGACTAAAAAATTTTTCAAAATCATCTACGTGTTCTCAGAAATTCAAATCTGACTTTAGATTTGACTTTTGACCTTCAATGACCTTCTCAAAGTCAAAAAAGGTCAAAAAGGTCTTTTTTCAACTTGCTTCAAATTGACTAATTTTTTTTTTCAAAATCATCTATATGTTCTCAGAAATTCAAATCTGACTTTAGATTTGACATTTGACCTTTAATGACCTTCTCAAAGTCAAAAAAGGTCAAAAAGGTCTTTTTTCAACTTGCTTCAAATTGACTAATTTTTTTTTCAAAATCATCTACATGTTCTCAGAAATTCAAATCTGACTTTAGATTTGACATTTGACCTTTAATGACCTTCTCAAGGTCAAAAAAGGTCAAAAAGGTCTGTTTTCAACTTGCTTCAAATTGACTAAAAAAAAATTTCAAAATCATCTACGTGTTCTCAGAAATTCAAATCTGACTTTAGATTTGACTTAAGATTTGACAATTGACCTTCAATGACCTTCTCAAAGTCAAAAAAGGTCAAAAAGGTCTTTTTTCAACTTGCTTCAAATTGACTAAATTTTTTTTTCAAAATCATCTACATGTTCTCAGAAATTCAAATCTGACTTTAGATTTGACATATGACCTTCAATGACCTTCTCAATGTCAAAAAAGGTCAAAAAGGTATTTATTCATCTTGCTTCAAAGTGACTAAATCTTTTTTCAAAATCATCTACATGTTCTCAGAAATTCAAATATGACTTTAGATTTGACATTTGACCTTCAATGACCTTCTCAAGGTCAAAAAAGGTCAAAAAGGTCTTTTTTCAACTTGCTTCAAATTGACTAATTTTTTTTTCAAAATCATCTACATGTTCTCAGAAATTCAAATCTGACTTTAGATTTGACATTTGACCTTTAATGACCTTCTCAAGGTCAAAAAGGTCAAAAAGATCTGTTTTCAACTTGCTTCAAATTGACCAAATTTTTTTTTCAAAATCATCTACATCTTTTCAGAAGTTCTAATTTGACTTTACAAGTTCTCAGAAATTCAAATCTGACTTAAGTTTGAACTCATAATATTGTGAGCAACTAGGTGGTGACATTTTGTCATGTTAATGCCTTGTTACATATTGTAGATGGGGAAACATATGCAAATCATAAAAATTAATAATATCTATATAAAAATATAAAAACTAATGGTATCTATATAAAAGAGAAAGAGAATAGGAGATGTTTGTTTAATATTTGACGTCCAGTTTACAAGAGAGAAGAATATTGCCTATAACAAACAATACATAACTGAAATATCACTCATGTGTTTGTTATTTCAGAGTCTTGCACCTTATGTACCAAGAGAGGAACCAAGACTGGACCCAGCAATTTATGAGATGATTCTAAATGAGTTCTTACAAACTGATGAACAGGTATGTATTTAGGGGATCAGGACCAAGAATAAATGTTTTAGATCACTGTGTACTGAAGAGCACTATTTATCATTTTTGGGAGATAAATGCTTGTTCTCCAATCAACATAACAATCAACATCCATAACATATACATGTACATTTATAGAAATTTCAATGACAAGTTACAATGTAGAATGATTTTTCCTCCCGAAAACAAAGAAGGTATAGCATAATATGTGACATTGTTTGTTTGAAACATTAGGTTTCCAGTGTTTGATCAAGAAAGTACCTAGCTCTGTATATATCATATATGCAATTGTTTTATACAGGGTTTCCAGCGCCTGATCAAGGAATGGCCCAGCTCCCTGTATAACATACAGACCATAGTGAATGCTGTACTGGACAGACTTGGCAGGGACAACAACAATGCAGTGCTTCTTCACAGTCTTGCTGCCCTATATACTGCTGACAAAAGATATGATAAGGCTCTGGCTATGTATCTAAGGTATTGACATGCTTTAATTTTGTATGATGTAAAATTTACAAATGGTTTAAAATACTTGGTACAAATAATGCGCTAGAAGTGTAATGATTCAGTTCCTTAACCCTAACTGTTTAAGGGTTAATCTTATACACTGTAGCCTAAAATACTAATTTTGTTTTACATGTACATAAATCAATGAAAAGACTGAATCAGCTTGTCTTTTCAAGCAAAAATATAACATTATTCACTGAATGCATTTTATAAACTGGGAAATCTGACCAGCCTAGTCAGCTCATTGTAACAACTCAACTAAGATTTCATTAATAACTTGTGTGTACAATATCATTGCTTTTGCTGGATTAATTCTAAGAGTATTATGTCTTGTAGGTTGAAGCACAAAGATGTATTTGAGCTGATACACAAACACAACTTGTTTGACTCAATCAGTGATAAGATTGTGAGACTCATGGACTTTGATGCTGACAGGGCTGTCACTCTGTTGCTGGACAACCTACAGAGAATTCCAGTAAGAAATGTTGTGTCACACCTTTCAACGTTTTTGGCGTGTATGTGTCTCTGGGATGGTGGGCACCATATAAATCTTGTCATCAGAATTCCAGGAAAGTGTCTTACCTGTTCAGTTTGAAATCTTCACTGATCTGATTAATTCACTCAACGATTTAGAAAAGCTTTTATTTACTGGGTCTTCAGTGTGTATCCATGATTTCTGTTTAAGTTCTTTTAGTCATCTGGTTTGAATAGTAACATATGGTATGCTTTCATCACTCATAATTCAAAATGATAATCAAGGGGTCTTCCATCTTATTTGATGTACAATATTTGTTATAAATTGTAATAAAACACACATTAGAATACAATACAATACAATCCAATTCGTAAATATTCCTCTTGAACTTCAGATAGAGAAAGTTGTTCATCAGCTAGAAGACCACCCAAAAATGCTCCACATCTACCTGGACAGACTCTTCAGACGTGACCCACATTCTGGCCAAGACTTCCACGAACTACAAGTAAAACTTTACGCTGAGTATGATCGAACTAAGCTTCTGTCATTCTTGAGAAGTAGTAACTACTATCCACTACAGAAAGCAATGGAGGTGTGTACACAAAGAAAGTTTATTCCTGAGATGGTTTTTCTCTTAGGTAAGTCTCTACCAAAATAATTCCAATCATGATTTAAAACCCTCTTTCTGGATCAATTTTATGATACAAGTATCCATTTTAAATAAGCTTATATTTTGTTCCCAGCCACTTTTTATAGATATCACATTGAAAAAGCGTTAATGTGTTGTGTAGTGTATGTTTTGATATCTGATTGACTATTCTAATTAGTCTAAAAGAAAAAGTGAAGGATTTAACTCAGCCTGCAGTTTTCTTTCACACATTGTAAAGGGGACATGCCATTAAGAGGCCATTCTCGGACTTAGTCATTTTTTCAAAAGTGTGAAAATAAAAAACCTCATGAAAAGTTCTTAAAATATCCTGAATAACAAGTTGAATATATATATATTAAATGATGGCACAAGCAAAAGTCTGAAAATTAACATGAAATGAGGGGTTTTGACAGATGCAAAAAATGGTAGATTTGTGATGAAGAAATAGAAGTTTTTGCAGTAACAACACAATTACCTCGAAGTTATCAGTTATGAGAGGCTGAGGACTAAACTTGACATAATACTCAATCTCAGATTATCAGTAGTATCTAACTTAAGCCGGACAGCCACTCAAAATGTATATGGAGCCCATGAGATACATTTTTCTCAATTGAAGTCACTATTTCTGTTTTTAGCTTCAGAGGATAGGAAGTACATGAACATGCTAAGTTTACCTAGATCACAAGCCTTACCACAAATATAAAGTGTATAGGAATAGAGTTGATATGTGTGAGAACCTTAAACTTCCCATTTTATTGGGGATGGGACTTGTGATTCATGTGTATTTCTAACTTCTTCACATGTGCATGGATCTAAAATTGTGGCAGCCATCTTGGATTTGTCATATATGTGGACATGGTTTTGGTTGTGCTGAATTTGTTTCAAAATAACATTTCTTGTATACATTCGATAAGTGAGATAGGCATTTGAAATTAAATACAGATAGTATACTTGACATTTAATGCAGTAAACAGTAATACAATTCATTCTTACGTAATAAGTGAGTCCAGACAAAAAGTTGTTATTGTGTTAGTTTAACTGGGCATAAATTACACTCATTGGGCTTGGTTTTCTTGATTGGCTTGGATAAAATGTTGTTCTATTTATTCAGAAAAGGAGTATAGTTCAATATACAAGTTCACATTCATTCCATCCTCTTGTAGAAATGAATCTCATATTATTTCATCTCACATATGGAACACAAAAATATAATAAAAAACAAGTTTCTATTAATTGCAAAAGTTAGCTTCCATGTCATGACTGAGTTTGGGTTCCGCTTCTAGAGAAAAAAGATATTCCCTCTGGAAATATCGTATTGACCATTGCTATACACTCCATATTTAATCCTCCTTGTAAATAACATTGATATACAGTATATATATGACATCGAGGATCTGGAGTTTGGGTAATGTGAGACATGAGTTGCTACTTTTTGAATCTCATACTCAATATTCTTTCTTTAAAACCTCATATTTAATATTTTTGGAGTGGTAATTCAATTATTTACCTATTTGTTATTCTTTATCCCATAGTTGGGCTCTTCCGCTCTGTTAGGTAACATGAAAACATATTTATGATATTTTGCAAATGCGTGGAAAAAGTGATATATCTTTGGAATACGGCAAATATTTCACAGATATCACCTTTTGCCAGGGATTTGAAAACTACCACCAATATGATGTGTTTTGTTACATAGTGATTTCATGACATCACGGGGATGAATGAATAAATGGATGTTGTTTTGATATGTTTTGTTTAGTTTATAGGTGAACTATGGGATAAATAGAACATCCTATGAATGTTCGTGATATCGTGTTAATCCACTCATTGATATCAATATCTGCGCTAATTGGCTATACTAACTTGGCAAGATATTGATATCAACTCGGAGATAAAGATAAAATCATTTAAAATCATATGATATCCTATATATATCCTTTACTGTGCCACAACTTTCTCATATTTTATATATTTTGGCACAGGTCATCATTTATTTTCCTTGAATTCATGCTTTTGTTCCTCGTTTTAGAAATGAGAGGAAATCTTTGATTTTCCTTGTATTTGAGTTGCTTAAATGTTGCCCTGTTATGTGATAAAAGTCAATAGTATCCACCACAGTCACAGTTGAAATGTACCCATTGCTAGCCCAGAACCTACCAAAATAGCATTTGCATTTTGCCAATATTGCCCTTTGTGCTTTTCCATGAAAATAGTTTTAATCGTATCTTTTCTTCAGTATTTCATATATTACATTTTAATATATCTAAATTGGTTTATATCTATAAATTATTTACTTAGACAGCAATAAATAAATAATTTTTTGTAAAAACACCAAAAATGGTATGTGATCTTTAAATGACTGTTGTGTGCACATCAAAGCTCAAAATTCGCTGAAATTGTAATTTTATAAAGCACAAATGATATTTCTTCAATATGATATGCATTATTATCAGATATCTTTGGGGGCTAAAAAGGGCCCTTATTGACACCCGTCCTTTGAGATAAAGTTAAACTTCTATATCTGAACACCTCTCTAATCGAAACACCAATCAATGTGAATGCTTCTTGTCAGTCCCATTTTTATTTGGTGACAAGTGGTGACATATTGTTATAGTCTCCAGCTTTTTTGTGGACAGTGTTCGGTGGTCGTTATTAATGCCTTGTTGTAATCTGCCATAGACTTCCATGTTAAAAACCTCTAAATGTGAACACCTGGCAAACTTAACATTTAACCTAACTGGTTCAAATGGCTTATGGATCTAAGTACCAGGTCGTTCAATAAGTTCACGGAAAAATACTCTCATTTCAAACATTCTCGATATTTTCCCATAAAATTTTCACACAATGTATAAAAAATACTTTCTGATTGATACTTAAAATATCTCTTATATGATTGGTCAAAAATAAGGGTTACTATGGTAACTTGACTTTTAGGTAGGCGGGACACTTTTTACGTCACACAATTTACCATTACAGAAATCTATCAATATGTGCAAATGAGGAGCCTATTTTTATTTGTTCTTATTTAAATTACAAATGTTCTGAGGGAAAATCGATGTTCATTGTTTTCACAAACATTTCTGAAATTGTGCTTGTCAATCCAGGCACCAGTGGACCAGAAAATCAACAAAGTAATGCTATGGTAAGTTGATTAAAACTTAACCATTCAGCCAAACTCTAAATCTTTCCATCAGGATAATGCAGCCGATCACACTGCTAAAATTGTGCAGGATCAGCTAAGAGTTGCACTTTATGAAACAATGAAACTATTTTCGACTGCAGTCCAGATTGCCCTTCAAACAAGTTTTCCAGATGGCTTTAGAGCATTGTCTCGTCGATGGGATGAATATACCTACTGTGCATTAAACATGAGGGAGAATATTTCTAAAACCTTATGGGACAATAGTTGTTACTATTATTACATTAAGTAATATCATGAACAAGTAGAAAGCGGAGAAGAAATTCATGTGATATACTCATAAATTGCCTACTATTCTGTTGTTTTTCTAATGAATAATGTGACGTAAAAAGTGCCCCGCCTACCCAAAAGTCAAGTTACCATAGTAACCCTTATTTTTGACCAATCAAATAAGAGATGCTGATATTTTAAGAATCAATCAGATAGTATTTTTTATGCATTGTGTGAAAATTTCATGAGAAAATATCAAAAATCCTTGAAATGAGAGGGTAAAATGGTAAAAAAATTCAAGTTCTCCTGTATCCAATTTGGACTGTGTTTCTGTTGCAGGTAGAATGGGTAACACAAAGCAGGCATTAAAGCTGATTACGAATGAGTTGAGAGATGTGGATCGTGCCATAGACTTCTGTAAAGAGCACCATGATAAAGAACTGTGGGAGGACCTTATCTCATACTCCATAGACAAACCTGGTAGGTTATAGTCAATGAAGTTCAGCTCAAATCAATTTATTCATATTGTAGGCACTAGCTCTAAAGGGAAAAGTGTATTTCAAAGCACAGAAGAACACAACAGAAAACAAACAATTCAAAAGTACAATCCATCAATATCCCAAACTACTAATATGATCTTTTACCCACTAAGAAATGATGTCTAACACCTCCTCCCCAACAAATGAACAGCTTAACTGGTTCAATTATGCCATTCATCTTTTTCCTATGCAAAGCACTGTTTAGGGAGGTCTCAGATTGCATTCTCACCATGTCCTGGTAATTTCAGCTTTCATCACTGGACTCCTGAACAACATAGGGACCCACGTGGACCCCATCATCCTCATACAGAAGATAGAACAGGGAATGGAGATACCTGGACTGAGGGACTCTCTAGTGAAAATACTTCAAGATTATAATTTACAAGTATGTAAAGCAATTACATACATTAACAATTTTATACTGGTTTCTCAGGCCTGTGGCACAAGACAAACATGGCATTGTTATAAAAACTTGCAGTTTTGGAATTTCTTTGTGAAAAAATCATGAATATTTAGTATAATTGCCAGAAAGCTGAGTGGGTCTTGTTTCGAAACTGCCATTTAAACTCAGTTTTTAAATCATTACATGACATATAAATTACACTGCAGTATAATAGTTGTTTCCAATTTGTATAGGATATTCTTTTTCTTTATGGCTTAGTGTAATAGTCTAGTGCTTTCCTTTTATGATCTTAGAAACTGAAACACTTTATTCTCTAAATCTGTTTTCAGATCTCTTTGCGTGAAGGTTGCAAGAAGATCCTGGTTGCAGATTGCTTTGGTTTGTTGGACAAACTTGTAAAAACTCAAAGGAAAGGTATTTCAGTAGAAGGTAAGGAAGTCCATAATTTCTTTTATATTTAAATTTAATACACCATTATGGCATTTTAAATAAACGTCCAACTAGCTTCCCCTTATATCACCCAGTAAAATTCAAACCTACTTTTTCTGGTTTTTGAACGATTTCTGAAATGATTTTGGTCAACTGAGTGAGAACATATTTTACAATGTTATAGGTGAATCCTAGAATTACAATTAAAGTTATTGGTAACTTAATAAAACAAATTAATAAACTATTATTAATGATATGTATTTCAGAGGACCAGGTCTGCCAAGCTTGCCATGAAAAACTTATAGTTAATGGTGAGTAGAGTTGGGGCACCTGTATTGTAGTGTATCACATTGTTGTTGTCTCCAACATTTTTGTGGCCTGTGTTTGTTTTTTGTGGTTGACATCTGTAACAAATGGAAGATGGTGACACAGAAACACAGGTTCTTGTTCGCAATATTTCTGGTAGTAATTTACAGTACATTTGAAAAGTTCTTCGCCTTCAGCAACGGGATGTGCCAATTTGAACATTGTTTGTATTTCTCACATCCATTGAATATTTTAAATAAGTAAACACAGGTTAATCTCATGCAATTCAAACCTTTTTCCAGATCTGCGCTACGCCAGTAACATCATCACATTCTTCTGTCGTCATTCCTTCCATGAGGATTGTCTACCAGTTCATGCCATGGTATGTTTCTTTGATTGTGTCATTGTATAGCATTAGATACATGTTGGAATACATACTCCTATTAGGAGGTCTTCCATCCTTTTTGATGTACAATATTTATTTGCCACTTTGAAGCAATGCATTTCTTTGCCACTTTGAAGCAATGCATTCATTTGCCACTTTGAAGCAATGCATTTATTTGCCATTTTGAAGCAATCCATTTATTTGCCACTTTGAAGCAATGCATTTATTTGCCACTTTGAAGCAATGCATTTATTTGCCACTTTGAAGCAATGCATTTATTTGCCACTTTGAAGCTATGCATTTATTTGCCACTTTGAAGCTATGCATTTATTTGCCACTTTGAAGCTATGCATTTATTTGCCACTTTGAAATTGATTTACTTCAAAGTAGATGTCCAATGATTTGCTTCATCTACAGGGACATAATGTACTTCCATATCCACATATCTTATTTGCAGGAAACTTGCAGTATTTGTGTAGCTCAGAAAAGAGGACCAGGAAGATATTCAATGCTCCGAAAATAGCACAGATTTTAATCAATTATCAATTTATTGTATCCTGGACTGAACCGTTGTCAAGGAAAAGGAAGCAGATGGCCCAACACAACCAATCTTTGAGCATTGTATCCTTATGATATCCAATCAAATACATCGGAATCAGAATTACAAGTTCACTAGATTTGAATTGAACTACAATGCAATGATATCGTGAAGATGTTTTTGTGGAATGTAAAACTTCAAAGACCACCTACATTTCATAGTGTAAGAATTGGGATAAGTTAAAGGTGCAACAAGTAGTGCAGAAGGGCCATTCAATGACCAAGGACCAGTGTCAAAATATATTTAAGTTTGGGTATTTCATCAAGACTAACATCTATTTTTGTATTCTACAAGAAACCCCTTAGATAATCATTATTTCAGCTTATATTCCTCTTGAAACATGGTGGATCTTAAAAATATAAAAGTGGAAGTCCCCTTTTTGAAGCTTTGAACTGAATTTACACTTTTTAATGCCGAAATTGATAGTTTATCCATACATTTTAAGAAAATAGGTATGTCGAAGAAGATGTTAAGCCAACTGTTGCCTTGATAACTCAGAAAAAGTTAAAATTTTCCTATTTTCTCTCTACAAGCCTTATTGCCCCTTTAAGAACTCATTGTCCACAACTTAAAACCTAATGATATTTCTTATTAGATGTATGTGAATAGTGATCTTCTCACAATTGAAGCATGTGACTGCTGAAGCTGTGCCCACTTGAGGTTTTGAAAATCATGCACCCACATCCTGTGAAAATTCATTTGATATATATTTTGGCCTTTGGTTAGCCTTGCCCAAGTTGGTCTCTTTTACTTATCTTGATTTCTGTTATGACCGCCGTAATAATTCAAGATCAGATAAGTAAAAAAATACCGACTTGGGCAAGGCTAGCCTTTGGTCAGAATTGTGAAAATGCAAAATCATAGGAGATACTATGGAGAATGTGGTTGATAAGAAAAATCAGGATCAAATATTTTCTTTGTTGGTAATTGGTTAACCAACCACTTGAATAGCTAAATATTTCATAAATATATAGGTATAAAAAAGTAGTTTTTATTTGGCTGAAATATTATTCTATACATTTCTATGAAAAATGAAATTATAAATGCAAAAATTAAACATCAAATTAGGTGGTCATAATAATGTAATCTAGTCATGAAATAACTGTACAAAATACTGTTTTATAATATTTTTATATGTTCAAATAAATAAGTGAATTACAAGCAAAACAAAATATGAATTTGTATTACTAAATATTAATATAATTCAAGATAATGGTAAACCAAGCTTCTATCAACATTTTATTCAATATTCACATTTACAGACAAGGTGCCCGAATCTTTATTCAAAGTGAAACTCTGCCTCTGTATCTCAACTCCATTGTCTAACACTATGACATCATAGTCACCATGGAAACCACGGAAGTTTATTGTTTCATCATACAAGTACAGCTGATAATCTTGCTGTGTTCGCCACTCTTGTTGTATCAACTGTTGCCACCTGAGCCCTGCTGCATTGATCTAAAAACAGAAATATTCCAACAATATTTCACTGATTTCAATATTTTACTCGGTTCTACAATCCATTGTATGCAGCAGAGTCCATAGTTCCACGCCCACTTCTCTGGATCGGATTGACAATTCAAACTGAAGTGGGATGACACATGCTCATTCATGACATGATTTACAACCCATATGTACAAGTGTCTTGTTTAAAAAGAACATGAACATATTCTTGATATGCATTATATTTTTATTCAAAAGGTTGATACATGTAGTATAAGGGATGAACACCGACAATAGCGTAAGTTCTCTATCCAATGAGCACATCGACAACCATAGGCCCTTCTCCATTAGTGAGGGTAAAGCTTTGTCTTTGTACTTCAGCATTTGCATATTTTACGATGACATCATAGTCACCATAGAAACCACGGTAGTTGAATGTTTCATCAACAGCTTGAAGTTGAGCGTCCAAAGATGTTGTCCATTCTTGTTGAATGAGCTGTTGCCAGCGTAATCCAGCCGCATTTATCTACATTATGACAGTGACATTTTTGATAGAGGATGGATTACATTGACCCCTTGATGGAATTTTGACATTTCCTCCAATTGATTTGAAAGTACATGAATAGGGAAGTAAATGAAACCTTTAAGTATAGTATTTTGCTATTCTGTTGTCCAAACCAGGTTGTCCCGGGCTGGAGTTATGCAGAAACTGAGAAACACACAGAGAACAATGACAAACAGCAAGGTATATACTGGGTAATCTGTGTTACAAAAAGAAACAGTGCATAAAGACCATATACATGACGGAGATAATGATGATGATGATACCATTATACAATCACGGACAACGCAGAACATAGACAACATCCAGAGCTACTTACAGTGAAATCCTCCCCATCAACAAGAGAGGAACCAGGTCTGAAGTGGGCACCGTCCCAGAATCCCCATATAATGATGCCCTCCACGGATGGATGACTGAAGAAGGCTCGTAGGGCAGCTTCATATTTGTCCGCTCTAACATTAAAGTCCGGGTCTTCGCAGTCCAACTCTGTGATCCATAATGGAACGCCAGGTGCTGCTAGACTATCCAGTCTTCTCTGTACGATACACAATTATACAACGGTATCGTATATTATGAATGGAGACATTATTAGTCTTATTGGATGGGAGGAAAATCTGAAGAAACGGCAGGATTAATGCCGCATGTCCAGAAGAAAAATAGCCCAATATTGAATCGTTTATGTTCAGACTGTGATACATGGTTGATTGATTGATTGAATAGATTGATTGATTGATTGATTGATTGTAAAAGATAAAAACAACAGCGGCTTAGTGTACCTGCACCCAGGCAGGGTCAAATCTGCCATCTCTGAGACCAAAGTGACCTTGCGCACCGATGTACACCTCGAACCCAGCCGCTTGGAGCTCCCTGGCCTGATTGGCTAATGCCTGCAAGCATATACGATCATATTTGTATTTTATTTAACAAATATATCTTAGATCAGGGGACATGCTCACAACCTATTGTTGTCAAAATAAGGGCACGGCCCCGTCCCAAACCTTAATTTGTGTAATGTTCACAGAAAATCAAATCAATGCATTCAAAATTTTCTTTTTTAATTCCGATCATGTTAGCATGCCATTTTGACTGGGATAGATTTATTGACATCAATATCTCGGGTACGGGGTAATACTTGAGAAAAAAAGAAATCATGACAAAGGGGAACATTGGACATTACGAATTCACGAGCTGAGGGAAAGATCTCGAATACGATGCCGCTTTTCAAACAATTCTAGTGTTTTACGTTGGTCAACTTTTGCCAAAAATCACTGCAAAAGTGCTCAGAATGGCGAAAACCGCATGATTTTGAAAGAATTTTTGGCTCGCTCAGACCCACTGAACCCGGGTCTGATTCATTTTAACTTTCAATTTACCGTTGTGAGCCATCCTTCATTCACCACCAGGTAATCATTGATGAAGAGTTTGCAGGCTGGATCAAGATCCCTCACTTCCCGGAACATGTCGGCCATGATGTCTGCATTACCAGTCTTTTCCTCGAAGAACTTGCCGTGAAGGTTCTCGTTGTTAACGTCCCAGTGGTGCAACCTAGTGATTTATATAACAGATTTCAGACTTAAAAACTTCATTATATCTTCTTTACATATAAAAGTAATCATACAATGTGTCATTGTGAATTAAAAAATATTGAGGGTTATGTAGGATGAGATAAATGAGCCTTTTGACTGTAAACTTCGACTTTGACCAATCAAAATGAAGTATTTCAACTGTCTAGTGACAATATATATTGAAAAATTACGCATCCATATCAGCCATTTTTGATCGTTGCTGTGATTGTTGTGTTGGAGTTTATTGTAGAAAAACGTACAGCTAGAGTTAGATACAATGACGAAGGTTATTCTGAATAAACAGCCAAACTTCCCTCTCCACAGACATAAAAATATTTAAAGTATTTCATAAAATCGTATTCATTGGAAAATTTCGAAGTGCATAGTTTATTAGTGAGGCCTTAAGTCATGGGGTCCTTTTAGCAATCTAAAAGGTGTGTATATTTGTAACTGATCCCCATAGCGGGCTAGAAATGCCAACATTATTTTTTGTAAAAAAAACTTAAGACGCCGTAACTGAACTACACCTGGCGTTCCGAGGAACAATTAAATGCATTTAATTCAAATCATCATAATGTGACACTAAAAGGGAAAATACAATATACAAAATTCAACAATAAATACAGAAAAAACCTTACACGCATCTGAGTTATAGTAACACTGTGAAATATATGGAATGTATATAACAATCATAAAAAATTCATTTGTTGTAGTTTTTAATTTAATATTACTTGATACTATAGTTACTACTTTATTCCCATCGAATGGAATGCGATGCAATACAATACCATCAATACAATACAATAGAATGCGATACCATACTATACGATACGATACAATATGATACGATATAATATACCATAATACTATGCAATACAATTCTGTATACAGGTACAACAATACAACTTACAATATAATTCAAAACAATACAATAATTAGAGGATTCTTCAAACAGATGGAGAAAAAACAGGTTCCAAAATCTTATCATATTGAAACAATATCAGAGGACTCCGACTGCTATACGCTTTTCGTATTACTACTAATAAAATTGCATAAAGCTACGGATCCGTGTATGTCAACATGTTCTCATATTTTTCTCGAATTTTGTATTACAGTTGGTTTTATAGCCCGAACACATTAAAAAGAATCGTAATAAATCGGTTCTTTTTATCATATGGAAATTGCTTCCTGACAGGTTAATGAGTTACATTTACTTTAGATCACATAACGTGCAATTCGAAAGGTTCATGCCGACTTCAAGGTGACTCCATTAATATACATATTAAAATATCGCAGGAATTCCAGGGAAACATACCATAAAAATGTCTGCGTTTCTAAAGACCGTGCGGCCAGCGACAGCGACGTTACGTCATTTGAAAAACGTTAATATGACGCAGTCTAGGCGTACGTTAATGTGGCGTGGAGGTGGTGACGGTGAATTTATCACAGGACCCCCGAAATATCGAATGTCGTTCGCCGGGAAGGTCATCTTCGGCGGGGGATCGCTCGTTCTATGTTCGCTACCAGCGTTCTATATAATGTCCCAGATCGAGTATTATAAGACCAGATCGGATTAATCAAAATGCTCTTACTCTGGAATTCAAACATTAAAATTGTCCCTAGAAAATTATTAATTGACGGACATAGATAATGTTAAGGAAATAAATACATAGAAGAGCGTACATCAAAAACAAAATTATGGAAACACATAATGGAATATATCAATCTAAAAAATAGTTGATTCACGGGCCAAATTGTTCCACAGACGCTACTTATGACGATTTGTTAAAGCCATGGACACACCGTATTCAATAGTATTAAACATTAATTGACGTAGCCAGAAGATCTTATTGATTAATAAACACAAACATCTAATTGGATCTAACTGATGGATGGAGTATAAGGACGGTTTATCTTACGTTAGATGATTTAATGAGCGCCATACATATTCCCAAACTTGTTCAAAATGGCCCCGTGTGCCCCTTCTTGACTTACTACTACATTTCCTTCATTTGGATTATTCACGGCTATGTAACTCACACAGTAATACGTAAATTATGATGGCAATAGAGGGACACGATGATGATAACCCTTTGTGCGTTGAAATTTAATCATGCACAATTGAATCAAACATTGATGAAAATCATACAATTAATTTACAACTCGAGATGGGAAGGGAAAACTTTCTCAAAGGATGCCTCGTCTGACTCATCCTGGCTACGCTAGAGGATCTCCGATCCGTTTTTCAAAAACAGTTGTTCAAATAAATATCATTGATAACTTTCGTTTTGCAAATGTCGCCTTTTGTGTTCCATCAAAACATTTTCTTGGACAGGTGTCAAATGTTCACATTCGATAGAAAAATAAAGAAGTTATAAGTACCAAACATTGTATTCTATTAAGATGACATTCGTGTCGGCCTTCCCAGTGGCGTCTATCATCTTAGGTTTAAAGTGACATCTTTTCACGATTCAAATAACAAAAAATGTGCTTGAAACCAAAGAAACCATTTTTTCCGTCCCTGTTTCTCAAATGTCTTCCTCACCAATCTCTTCCTTATCGCTATTCTCTCCCCTACCCCTCCAGTCCCCTCATTATTTTCCTCAGTCCCCAAGGCTCTCCAACTCACTCAAACACAAAACTTTCACGATCCATCATTCATCCGAGTTTCTACACTCCCCTCCAAAAGTTTGGCAACCGCGATTACCCGATGCGTAAAGCCCGTTCATATTAGAATTGCATAAGGCTTAGGTCGAAAATGTTTAGTAAATAAGATTCAAGTTGATGTTGCCAAATTTTGGAAGGGGGTGTATATTTCAAAATGTTGATTCCAGATGGACAGGGAAATCGAAACTTGATGTAAGTCTGTCAGAATACTGCATTGTATTGTTTCCATTAATAGGGAATGGTTTCTATACACTTAGAGAAACAATTAATACTTGTGTCATGTAAAATGACCTTTATGAGGTAAATTAAGTCATGTGATACCGTGCTGTATTTATATAATAGGTTATTTTAGTAACGTAATACCGTGCGGTATCTATACTGTATACCAATTAGTGTTTACTGTACATTGGGTAATTTCAAGAAGCGACGCACTTTAACCGACTCACCTGCCTCTAAAGCGGTCCACAACACCATTAGCTCGTCGTGTCACTTCTGCCCTAACTTCTTCGCCAGTCATATTGCGGATCCAGTTGGGTGTGAACTGTTCCACGCCCCAGTACACGCAATGTCCACGTAACGAAACACTGGGCAATTCAAACAAAGACTTTAATGGCGACGTGAATTTGACAAAAATACGAACATGCAAAGCCCAAGGTAAACAATTGTGGCAATGCACCACGAACCCCACAGGACTATCAGATCCCACTTAATCAAATGAAACCTTGACCCTGTCCCTTGATGCCCTAAAGACCACGAAGTCCCGCCAGACCTCGTTAGACCTCAACATTGTTTTAGTGATTTCACCGTGCCACATTGGTACATGTTTGGCTTAAAGAAAAAAACACGTTTTTTTTCATATAACACCGAACATATCGAATCTAACGGAAAAAATCTTACGTGATCAAAAAGGTTCGATTAAAACGTGCGTATACTTTACCAAATTGAAACAAATAGTTCACTTACTTTTGCGCCAACATTGCATTTATAGCATTCTCGGGACGCGCATAATTGATTTCCCCCTGAAGATACAAGAATTTTAACTATTTTCAACTGCCAGTAGGTACCGAGTTCCAATTGTCTATGGCTTGTTAAAGTTTGTTTGAAATATAAATTCCATTCTTCATTCTAGGATCGAAAATTATGAGATTCTTGTTGATTTACATGGTTTGATACGTGGTCCAACAGAGCAGTTGCTTTTGGATGGAAATCATTGTTATGCAAAACCATAATCTCATTCGTCAAATGAGAACTATGATTTAAAAAAAGAAATGGAAATTGATATCCATTCTATCCAAATTCCACATACACATAGCCTACACTTACATAATTCCATTCCATCTGACGCCACTTCAAAGCATTCTCTATGGTCCCCCAGTTGAAGTTCTGGTAGAAAAAGTCCTGGTACCTTTGGTCCGTAGTAGTTGAGCCTGAAATTCTGTCCGCATATACAGAACTTCCGAAGCCAAATTGATGGGTGGTCTGTCGGACTTCTACAACTATGTCGGTCGGCTCGATTAGGACATTGTTCACCTGTACCCTAGTTGAGTAGATACCAAAGAGAACAAGGAATTAATATGCAAAATGTCACCACCTCACATTTGCTGCAGACGCCGAACACCAGTCTCCGAACGCCGAACACCGACTACCGAACACCATGGTCCACAAAAAAGTAAAGACAATACATTATGTCACCAATTCTGATGGTGACATAAAAATGGATGACGTTCGACAAATCGCTGCATTTTAGTACCATGTCACAAATCCAATTAATCAAGTTACCGTATTTGTTTTTTTTATTTGACATTACACATTGCACACCTATTTATATACGATATGCTATATTAGGAATATGAAGGTACTACCTTAACCTCATAAATAAAGCCACGTGATACAAATAGATAATAAAAGTTTAAGCTGCACACCTTATTTTTGAAAAAAGAGATTCGTAAACTCTTGCTTTTACATATTTTAACAAACTAATATCTCATTTTGAAAATAAATATTATTTAATCGTGGCATAGCGGAGGACTTGAAAATAGAAAATGTAAGCATGTGTACGCTCCCCTCTAAATGTTTGGCAACACCGATGTCCCAATGGAGAGTTAGGCTTTCCAAACTTTTGGAGGGGTGTACATATATGTATCTACGGTACATGTACATCCTACCTCATATTGACGTCTCGTTTCCTTATCTGTTCAATACGGGTGTTTGCCTCTTCTACCCAGTTCTCGTTAAGGACGATCTCTCTCATGGTCGTGTTATCAAGGAGATAGTTAATAGCACCGTATGCCACTTGCACGTAAATACGTGCCTCTTGCACAGCTTTATGTACAATATATATTTTTACATTACACAATAAAGTTTAAGACTCGTAATAAATGCGTACACGTATCGGAAACGCCCCAAATTTCGTCAACCCCGTTGCACTTCAGAAGTGACGATAACTGCCTAGTATCTTTACACTCGATTCTAAAGGTAAATATAATGTTACATATACGTACGCATGTCAGAAACCATGGCGTCCCCACCAAGCTTCATCCATCCTTGGGCACTCCGGAAGTGGGGGTTTCTACCCATAATCCTGTGAATCTGCGTACCTAAACGAATTGATTTGCCGTATTAACCTGCTATCGAGCCCTTAACGATAGATTTACGTTAACAGTTTAAGGGAGTGAGTTAGTGTAGTTACCATTAGTATGCGTTACATGGAGCATCACCTCCGTGGACGCCCACATGTTTGACTCATCGTTGAGTAGTTTCATAGAGCTCTCAAAGTAGTAGGCCGTATTTTGCTTGACATTCACTGATTGAGCGATGCCTGCCCAGTTCGCAGCCCTAAATAATAAATATTATACAGAAAGAATGGGAGGTTAAATATTATCAGAACTTATTAAGTCTTCTGGGCGAAACAGCGGAAGTTCCAATGAAAGTGACATCTTAATGCGAGAATTCATTGAATGGGACTTGAAATTTTTTTAGAACGAATTGATAGAACCTACACCCCACCCCCAAGGTTTGGGCAATTAACCCATGTCTTAAATCCCATTTGTATAATTCAAATAATTTCTCATGAATTATAAGTCATTCTGGACATTTGACTCCGTTTACCTGTTTGTAACATTAGCGCTGTGAGTCCCGGACACTGCGTCAGTGCTTCTTTCGAGATTACAGTTGTTACAGTACCACCCACTCCCAGAGAAATCCGAGTCAAAATTAGGGTTGGTAAGCAACTCGGGTCCGAGAGTATACGAGCCCAGAACCGCTTGACAAACCCCAATAATAAAAGCCAGACGAAACATGGCCGACGATCATCAACAAATACACATAGAGTATATCGTCCCAACCTAGAAATTTGAATTTTGCGTCCTTGAGAACAGGTGTTTTTGAAATGTTGTTTCTCATTACTGTATTGAGTCATATATTTGTTTTGGTATTTGATTTGAAAACTCTTAACCTAGTTTTCTACAATGAACAAACAGGTATAAAGAAACACTGTTCTAAAGTTCCTCTTTGTCCATCGCAACTTGTTTCTGTCCCGTCTGTTATCTTTTAATTCGCTTCAGACAATTTCTTGAACCCTCACCCAGCAATTTACGCCAAACTATTTCCCAATACGTTCTTGAAACGTGAAGCTGAATCAGTTTAAACTTAAAGGAACGGATTGGACGTAGTTAGACGTACTTTTTACATGAACAACGACGTGCAACAACTAATTACTGAGAATGGAATTGTTGTCTTCGATTTTGTTTGGGACATGTTTACGACGTGTTTGTTACGAGATAAAACTATAGAGAGGGTTCAAACTGACTATGGACGAGATTGAATAGTATAGTTTCCACATAGCTTTTGAAATCTCACTAAATCTCGTTTTTCGTGAGATTTTAAGAGACTTGCATATTAGACCTCTAATGACTTACGTTACCTTCTTTAGCTTTTAAATGGTATATTTGAATTCAGTGAGATGTTTTCTCCTAAAATAGCTTTGATTTACACAGTTATGAAATTTGAATAATTTTCTATGACAATTAAAAAAAAACTTGGGCCAAATGTCCATAGATGCAATGCTAAAATTCTTTAAAACCGTGGATTATTTGTATGTCAATCAACATTTGCATGTTTAATCACAACATGCACATAAACAGGGTCATCATGTGGTATATCATTCAAGTTTTATACAGATTCAACAAACACAGTGTGTTTACACTTTGATAAATCATGAAATTAAGCCACTTTTCAAAGATTTTAGCATGTAAGTGAATGGAGCTCTAGCCCAAGTTAAAAGCTGAATAAAAGATGGCAGCACGAGATTTCATTGATTTTTCTGCTATTTAGAAACTATCCTATTGCTGTTAGAAACGTTGTCTGCGTAATTTGAAGCCTGTTTATGAACGAACTAGCATATAGGTACGGTCAAAGCTAACTAGTTCCTGATAATGTTTGCCGTAGAAGCATAAATAAACCAGTACGAACAACCTAGCATCGTATGTTAGGACATTTTTCCCCAACCACATGCGTTTTAGGATTTTTAAGACGGGATGGGAAGTTTTAACAACTAGATTAATGGGCTTTGTATAAAAACCTCCTATCTCATACCCACCTACACACCTACGTGGAACATGATACAGTCATTGAAGGGTTCAATTTTTAAGATTATTAAATCTCAAAATAGCTCAAATTATTTACATTTCTACAATTCCGGCTTTATTTTATGACTAGACAGATCAGAGATGACAGATCCATAAATAAAAGCATATGGATGCATTATGATGTGTAATGACCCGAGGGCGCCCCAGGGGAATACATAACTAACGACCGCGAGCATAGGTCCAACAAGCCAGATAAAGAAATTGAAAGAAAGTGTGCAAAATTCGATGCCCCGAGTGGGAATCGGATCCAGCTGGGATGTAGTAGCAACTTGCTATCAAGGGTCGTTACAAATGCATCTATAATTCATCATAAACTAAGATTTGATAAACTAAGATCTTTAAAATTGAACCCTTCAAAGACTATCATGTCCCACGTACGTGGGTAGGTGGGTAGGGTATGAGGTAGGAGGTTTTTTATACAAAGCCAGATTAATGTGCCTGGAGGAACTTTATTTATTTAACACTTTCAAAGTTATAGATATGAAAGAGATAACATTGTTTAGTATTACTAGAATTATAATGTTGACGTCCAAAGACATAGATAATGGATAACTGACCTCTCATAAATTAGGACATCAATAATAATACCCAACAGTAAGTTTAACCTCAGAAGTCAATATGAGAAACTTAGCGTTAACAGTGTTGGTGATTCTTGCAGTGATAATCCTTGTGACCGCTCCTCCTCCAAAACGTGGGAGGGGGCATAGCAATACACGACCAAGACACGAGAGACACGAGGGACGGTCGCCGGGAAATGAGTCGAAAAGGAGAGAGCATTCATCAAGAAGGAATCATGCTCACAGAAAGCGTAACAGAGATGTTGACAATCATGATACTCAAACAGAGAGGACAACACGATTGAATCCAGTGACAACTCAAAGCCCAAAATGCGATTGCTCTAAGTGTTTTAACGTCAAAAAGCCTGGACAGCCACCAATCAACAGGCCCAGAGCAGCTAATGGAATGGTATGATATCCATTTATTTCAAACTGCCCCTTGGATAGTCGACTCGAAACGACCCTAGCCAAACATGTTATATTAAAGGACTGAGCATTTACCATAGCATGTGAATATGGTCAACAAAGCACTTTGCTATAGAATGTATATCAATAATCAATTATTGAATATCCTATAAAACTTGCAACCATCCTTTACCCCCCTATCACACCAAACTCGTTCTTATCCGTTCTTGCCAGTCCTACGAAAACGTCGTAAAACGGGCTCAATCTGGTTGTGGTCGGGAAATATGTCTGAAATAATTAGCTTCTTCGTTCTTAAACAGTCTTCAATACGTCCTTCTCGTTCGCAGTTCGTTCAGGTCGCACCACGTCGGTATGCAACGTAGTAGAACGCGTCCCTTAGTCTAGAAGGTCAACATGACCTGATTACAGAACGTTATGGTCGCCATCGAATTTTGAATCGATTCAAAATTCTAAAATCACATTCCCGTCTGAGAACGATCATAAAGTTCGTAAATAGACCTTAGAAAGTTGCAGCTACGTTCATTCCGATCGCACACAGTTTTGAAGAACGCAGTGGCAACTTGTTTGGTGTGATAGCTATATTTTTGCTAACTCGTTCATAAGCAGTGTTAAATACGTTCTCAATCAGTTTAAACCCGTTTGCAATTAGTTCTACCTCGTTCTCAACACGTCCTCAGACAATTCAACTCGTTGTTAAAACGTCCCTAGTAGGATTGAAGTACGACGGTTCCGTTCGTAGTACGTCCAGCTCGTCGTTAGTACGTTGTCACTCGTTCTAATTGTAGAACGTGACGACCACGAGAACATTTTGAGCATTGTCTAAGTTCTAGAGGACCTACCCGTTCGAGTACGTTCGATGAAGTTTGTTAATAGATCCCAAACGGTTCTTAGTAGGTCCAGTCCGTTCGTACACAGTTGAAGCCCGTTTTTGAGAACGTAGTGAGAACTAGTTTGGTGTGATAGTAGGGTTAGGAATTTACTTCAATCATAACATATTAATAATTAAATGTATACGACATAGTTTTGTTTGTAGAAATATCTTCAACAGTTTGGGTATATGCCGTTTGCACGATCTGCTGCAGCATTTGAAATGTCTGTCGATGCTTCAGGAAGACCTATGGCACCGGCAAAGATGATTTCCGAGTCTATCAAAAAGTTCCAAAGGGTGGCCCATATTGAACAAACAGGTATCATAGAAAAAGTAGTAAAAAGCTGTAAAAATCATTACCAATATCTCCTAGTGATTTATCTGCACCCTGATGTCAAATCAAGATCATTCGAGTATCTATGTGTTGTGGCACTGAGGGGAAATTGGACACACGGTGGGCAAAACAAATCGTTTTATAGTAGGACATCACCCCTCACACTAAGTATAAAATATTCACGCGGTGGCGAACATTGAGCCCAGACGGCTAATGTGACACTTAGTTTAGGTTGTACATGTTGACATTCGCTTTGGATACAGGTATATTGGACGAGGCAACATTAGAAATGATGGAAAAGCCAAGATGTGGGGTACCCGATACTAACATCCTCGACAATGAATCAAGAGACAAAAGATATGTCACCCACTGTGAGTAATATGAATTCCAAAAGTTTGCAAACCTTGGTTCAATTCAACTGCTAAAGAAAATTTTTTGCTAACATTTTTATCTTACTAATGTATCAAACTGTATTCACGACACACATTTATTTTTGATTCAGCGAGCAAATGGGAAAAGACTCGTCTAACGTACAACATATCTGGCTTTACAAATGATCTTGACCAGGCCATAGTTGAGAAAGATATCGCAGATGCCTTTAACGTAAGAATTTTCACCATGCGATGAATTACTATGCAACTTCAACAGCCAAGAAAATTGTTCCTGTCCAGAAAATTGTTCCTACTTTAACCCATAATTCATGAAGATGTCTTGGCTTTTAAATATTTCTAGATCTGACGGAGATGAACGTTCCCTTTTTCAATTCTATTCAATTAGGACGCATTTTAGATTTTCAATAGTGTTCATATTAATTCTAATGGTTACTGTATTACATTTCAATAGTATACTGTATTTGACCACTTTAGAAGTGTTTTCTTTCTATTTCTATAGTTCTGGACGAGTGTGACACCTCTAACCATCACTAAGGCAAACCAGGGGAAGGTAGACATCGACATATACTTTACCAATGCTGATCATGGAGATGGTAGTCCGTTTGATATGCAAGGAGGAGTGCTGGCTCACGCATTCTTTCCAACGGGTGCTATTGAGTTTGATGTCGCTGGTGATACTCATTTCGATGAAGGGGAGGTTTGGACAAATGGGGAACGCAGAGGTATTTAGCAAATCACGGTCTGCTCAACTTATATACAAGCTTGATTCATCAAATACATGAAATTAAAATATCCACTTTAAGTATTATAACAATTACAGTACCCTTGCTTCAACCCCCGCCCTACTTAAAATAACTATTGTTGAAGTAGATAAGGGGGATCCATGGTCTTAAAGCAAGACTACAATTACAGATACGATATGGTATCATGCCTGCACAGTGCACATCATTAAAACATCCAAGAAATGGCTCTTTTCGAGTACCTAAAATGATAATGACGAGTAGGTAAAGTTGGCTGCATATTGATAGAATTGAGATTCAATCGGGAGACTTGTGAGAAAGCCCGTTCGTTTATTTTTAGGCGCCAATCTGCTGTACGTAGCAGTGCATGAATTTGGTCATGCACTGGGACTCGCTCACTCGGATCAGTTTGACTCGGTGATGTATCCATTCGCACGAGGGTATGATCCTAATCTGAAGCTTTACCAGGATGATATTGATGGAATTCAATCACTTTATGGTAGGTTTGATCGAGCAAACTAAAATAAATATTTCCATCCTACATGTAGATATCCAACTTACCATTCTGCGAGATGAAATATCAAAATAATAGGGGCGATTGACATATTTCTTTTAAATCCTTATGAATCGACGAGCTCAAAGTTCTGCATTGGTCAATTATTGATTACCTTCTTTATGTTATATGGATCTAAAGAGAAAAACTTATCCCAGATAGAAACCAAAATGAAGATCAACCACAACCTGTTATTATTTTTAACAGACAACAGTTGGAGTAAGGTAAATATATATTAACACATTAGGGAAACGATGTATTATGTTGTTGTCCCTTACAAAAGAATTATTTAAAGAAACAAAAATAATTGAATTGCAGTGGAAAATTATGCATGGAATATTTCCTACCAGAAAATTAATGTACAAATATCAAATTGAAGAAGTACAAAATGAACTCTGTCAAAGCTGCTTAGTGCAAGACAATCTGTTACATTATTTTTATGAATGCAAATTAGTGCGATATTTATGGGATAAGCATTTCCCAGGTATAACCTGTAATGACATTTTATTTGGTAATCCTATACTTACCAAGGTTGCCTCTAAGAAAATTATCCAACTTAAAAATTGTATTGTTGTTGGTAAACAGAACAATATTAGTATTTACTATTTAGCTGATTCCACTTTCTGGATCTTGAAAAAGATTGTTTTTTATGTAACGTAACAACACTCTCTGTAATTTGTATATAATTTGTTGATTTTAATAAAAAAAAATAAATAAAAAAAATGTTTGTAGGTGTTAAACCAACACCTTCAGAGCCAAAATCAACCGCTCCTAGCACCGAACCGACAACTCCTAAAATTGAGACAGATGCTCCAACAACGCCAAGAATGACAGAACCGTCGACCACAACTGAAACGGAATCTCCAACAACGCAAAGAGTGACAGAACCGACAACATCTGAAGTTGAAACAGAAGCTCCAACAACGAAAAGATTGACAGATGAACCAACTACTAAAGTGACCACAGACCCTCCGACACAAAGACCTATTACGGATCTACCAACAACAACATCACCAGAGACTGAGACGTGTATCAACACCATGGATGCGATAACCATCACTGTATTGGGTGACACTGTGGCGTTCCGAGGTGAGACAAAAATCTCAGAATTGATGAAATGGATATTGATGTGACTCCCCCCTCCCCTTCACTTCTGTGTGAGAAGATGTATATTGAAGTAGAGAGGAGGTCACAGGGGCTTGTAGCTCGACTAAAGTAATTCGTAATATCAAAAAATATAATTACATATCAAAATACTAATGTACATAAAATACTAAGTATTATGGGTCATTAATGAAACTAAAATACTCAACGATTTCAAGAGTATTGTTGTAAGTATTGTAGAGTAAGAGTATGATGATAGAACTAAAAATGATTACATCAAAAAAGTTTTGATCTTGACCATCGATATCCTGCTAGATGCAATGACGGAGATCATGATATGCTCAACTGTCTGAGTTTGTAGATTCACAGGTTTACATATTGTCCGTCAGTGACTATGGCGTCCAGGAAGGATACCCAAAACACATTTCTGCAATGTTTCCCCACGGCCCAGATGAGGTTGATGCGGCTTTAACATTCCCCCATTACAAGCCAGGAAAAGAATACAAGATTGGGGAGCAGAGTTACACGTGGCTGTTTAAGGTGATATTGAATTACTATGAACATTGATATTAAGGATGGGAATTGTTAGGATGAGAAGTTTTAGGTTATCATTTGATGCCAATATTGACTGTTGTGAAATCCCCGTTCATGTGAGATAAATGTATGGTGAAAATTCTATAAGAAATGATAAACGTGTCTACTCAGTCGTTGTATATATTCCATGCGTAGTCCTGCATACAAGTCAGAATTCAAAAAACATTCAAATTACCTTAGTACCTATGTTGATTTATATACAGATGTTTATGCTGTTTCTGGCTTATACAAAGGACTGTCTACAATAGATACAATAACATTTTTAATGGTTTAATTCTACAAACTGTTTTCTTCATTACAGGGTGACAAGAGCTGGAAATATCAAAATGTTGGCGGAGCGCTGGTGTTGGCTACTGGGTATCCAAGGTATATCTATGCAGACTGGGGATTACTGGGTGTACGAGACAGGAGGGCATCCGAGGGAATAGATTCTGCCTTTATATGGGGAAATTCAGGCAATGTTTATTTCACTAAAGGTATATTACCGTATAAAACCGTATTTTGGGCTGATTCTGATTTATATAATTATGTACTGTATCTACTTTGAAAAAATCAAAAACATTGAAAGCAGATTCCTTAACTTAAACAATCCAAATAATGTTCAACTAATGTACATAGACTTTATACAATGTAGGGAACCAGTATTGGAAGTATAGCGGGACTATGAGAAGGATGCTCAATGGTTACCCAAAGTCAACCAACAGGATCGGCGTACTTAGACGAGCTGGAGTAACTGAGGTTGACGCCGCTTTCCGGTGGATTAACAATAAAATATATTTCTTTAAGGACGGGCAGTACCATAGGTAATTGAATATAATGAAAGTCCTCTTGGGGGTGTTGGCTTTTTAATTAATTTAATGGACGTAATACACAAACATTGTTTCACGTGAATGATCATGGACTTGAAGGAATCGAAAGGAATCTTTTAGGAAACCTGCTCAGGTCCAATATTTGAAATCAGGAAAAACCTTTAAGTTAGTCTAGCTTCAAATCTCTGAACCCCCTATCTACTTTAACAAAAAAGTAGATACGGGTCCAGGGTCTCGAAACAAGACTAGTAGAGAAACCTAGTAGATAAATAAAGAATACGGCTATTGATAATGCTCAAATCAGAGAGCCAAGCTTGACATTCCAAAGGACATGAAATACTGAATATTCGTATACATAGCAAGGTCATTATTATTGCAATTGATGACATTCGTGTGTAGAAGGATCCATGGGCATTCAATAGATATTGAAAGCCCATGACGGATCACGTGGTTGAAAATATAAGCACAAATGCCAAAAGGGAAGGGTGACTAAAAACGTTAAGGAAACCCAACAAGAAAAGCAAACTGTAAGTGTATATCTGTCATAAGAAAAGTAGACCCTATATATCCCAAAACCATGATCTAACGTGAAAAGAAACAATGTCTAACATCCCCCTCCAATCGAGAACCAATATCACAATCCAGGACCAGAACACCAAGGGACATTTCATTCATACTGAAGTCATTCATGTTGAAGAAAAATTGAAAAATTGATAGCCAATACTCATAACATCAAAAATAGTTTTAGATACTAGAACTCATAAAAGATAGAGTATTCAGTCTCAAATGATGTGGGATAGATAAAATCCAGTCTCGAAGTCCATAGGCAATTCAAGGGGTCAACATCCGTTCGCAAAGCCATCATCATTATCCATGAAACACAACAATGGTCATCAGGAGAAAACTATGGCTGGTTTCGATCCCTATTTCTCAACCATTAATGCCATAGCCGGGATCCACCTCAAAAGGTGCCAAGTGAAAAAATTGTGAGTTCATTGCCAATGTGTTATACCATTTGTACATCCTTCAGCATCTCAAGTGGTAAAATTTGAAATTTGAAATTTGAGTTAAGATATGCTTAGGTCTCATTTTTATTTTTAGATACGAACGAGGGCAAGCGAATCTCATTGGACCTAAAGACACGGGGAAATATTGGTTTGGATGTTCTGAACCTTAAGTCAAGATCGTTGGACGGCGACGTTCAATAAATAAGAAGAGTAAAAGCAAACGCCAGTTGCAAGAACAAAGGACCAGTCTCAAAGTACCTAACAAACTTTCCCAAAACTAAGGATGGTTATAATAGGCATTATAAAGTACCAAGAGACAAACCGTATATTTGATTTAGAAAACGATTACCCATCGACAATTCTTATACTCGATCAAATCATATGATTAGTTCGATTTTGCTGTATCAATTTAGATGTTTGCCCATCGAGAAATAATTCAATGACATTGTTTTATAACGCCATCTGCACTTCAAATTTTATTATAGAAAATGATGAAATACCTCGCCACTCGGGCTAGCCACTAAGTAGTTAGACTTCTTAGTTTGTGTACGTATGCAATATGTAAAAAATCCATATTTTTCATATTTAAAATAAAACCTACAAAATAAAAACACATGTGTTGGATCACATTTTACTATGGTATGCAGTGCCTTATCCCACCCCTCTACCCACGCAGTACTATAGTTAACATATTAAAGTCGAATAACAGTAAGCCAGTCACTTTTTATAGTGCAATATTTCCGGGACAACTCTCGTTTGTTTAGCTAATGAAGATCGAATAAGAAAAACTATTGTGTGTAGATTCTATGATTTATGTTATAATATATATGACCCAAGATGTTATTCTGTTATTGTTAAACACAAAAACATTCAATAATAAATTACACAATTGACAATTTTAATATGATAGTTACTCATAGGCGTAGTCAGGGGATCGCACCCCCGCCCACACCCCCATAACCAATAAAACCATGAGAAAGAAGAAGAAGAAGAAGAAGAAGAAGAAGAAGAAGAAGAGCTTTAAAATGCTTTTTATTTGAATCTTCTAGCTCAAAATTGCATCAATTTTGTAAAATTTGAATTAGATTCTATTTTTTGGCTTGTTTATGTATCCACAATCGCACCCCTGACTGAAAACCGAACATTTTTTTGGCCATCGCACCCCCTGACTGAAAGCTGGCTACGCCCCTGTTGCTATTCAAATATTCTAGTCTTTTGACATGCTAATGCCTACGTCACATTTGCTCTGATTCATCATCATCAGAGCAAATGTGACTTAGGCATAAGGTGTCACTACGGTAAATCATTGAAAAATATTGAAAAAAATCACAAAATTCAAGTTCTGGGGTACATATCGCCATTTTCGAACGAACTAGCCCATGCAATGACTACATTTCTGCGCTCCCCTATACATAACATTCATCTTGACACTATATTTAACATAGGGTTTGCCTCTCGACTTACGCCAACATAGGGACTCATTTTTAGGTAAAATCCCTGCTTCACCGATGAAAATTAACGAATAAAGTAGTTCCCGTTTACGGGACTATATTCTTGCGATTTTTTTCTTAAAATGGCACATTTAGAAAGTACTCGGCCTCAGCTTTACATACATACCTCAAATGGCCACATTGTATACACTTAAACCTACTATACACACCATTGAAGTTGGCATGGCTTCGTTTTTAAAGTATTAAAAAACACTGTCCTACCCGGAGGTGGTATTTACTGGAGTGACACCATAAGCTACAATATTTAAATAGAGCGGAATATGACTATAAAGTAATAACAATAAAGAGCAAAGACTATTAAAGATCATAATATCAAAAGTAAGAATGATCAATCACGCCTAACCATCGACAACGTGCAATGATAAAATATACGGATGTACAATTTAGCTGTACGTTGTCATATTTGAAGCAAGAATTGGATGTAGGTTCTAAAATATTTATCTAAGGAATATGATAAAATATTTCATGTTTAATTTCATGTGCATGCTCTCTTTTAACTTTCTATAAGTTAGCAGATTCTCAAACAGATTCTCTTCATTTTTGGAGGAAATAAAGAAAATACATACATACATACACACACAGGTTTAACTGCACTCAAACATTAAACTGTCAACTTGACAGGTATTCAGAATTGTTTGGGAAATGCTGAGGTTATGCTCCATTGATCTAACAGGGGATCAAACAGCAGGGGGTCAAACAAGTCCAACCATTCATTTATGAAAACATTTTGAACTAACTTTATAGCACTCTAATGACATCTTATATGACTGTGCTGTACTAAAAGCATAGCCCCATTGATCCCCTTATATTGGATTATCATAATCCTAATCCAGAAGGAGTTCCTTATACATTTTAAGTGATGAAACATGTGTTCAAGTACAATGTAACTTTGCATGAAAATTGTAAAAAAAGAGGGACGATGGTGAAAATGACGATTGTATTTTGAAAAAAAGCTTGTTGGTGGGTAGTCCAACAACATTAAACCTAGCCCGGGCCTCGTTTCTTATCTGACATGTGTTATGGCCCGGCTAGGTCTAACCTCCATGACCATTTTGCCTTTGATGCGTTAATTAATCGTTCAGCAGGTTTCGACAAGCGGAACTAATTGAACCCTGAAAACATGGCAATATTACACAAAGAATGTGATTCAAGCATGCATACATACCTTATAAACACATACACCCCGTCCCGTATCCCCCTTAGACCCTATTGATGCATAATTACGAAAATATTGGAGACAGGTTTGGAATATGACGAAAATGTCGGTCAGTTTCGGTAACATCGAAATTGCAAATCGTTTCAGGAATTAACCGTCATCACGGCACTGCATTAACGAACAGTTGGTTTGCAATTAATAACTATTTTGCGTGTATATACGCGCTATATAAATTAATCAAAGATACCTGTTATCCTCAAAATTGATCTTTTTATCCCGAGTAATCGCGATAATAATTATCAATCTATTTGACAACAATTTCGTTTCGCTGGTAGTTTAATTTTACGATCCGGGACACTCAGACGAACAGACACAATGACGGACATGCGGAAATGTCATTTTAGAGATTGGTAAGTGTAGCCTCATTTTACTCGTATAAATGAACATTTAACACAATAATATTGTGTTACATCGCTTGATGTTATGTGTTTTTATATTATTGTCAAGTATCAGTTGCACGTTATCGCGGAAAAATGGTTTCGATGGATTCAGAACTTGCATCAAAGGAAAGAATAGTAAGGAGGTTAAACTCAATAATGGCCCCAAGAAAATTCCTAATAATAAAGAACGCCGTTATTGAGTTTAACGACGTTGAACTAGTTGGTGGGTGGATTAAACATGGCTAATGAGATAATCCAATTGATCTTGAAACCATTCTTTGAATTTTTCTTAAAGATTGGCCTTTCATATGCATTCATTTTTATACAGCCAGAAACTACTAGAAAAAAATTATTTACTGTCAAAAATCTATTGCGATACTTTCCCTCGTTCTTTAATTTTCTTTGAAAATGTGACTTCTAGGTCGGGGAGATTCAAAAGTGAAATATCTTTCTTGTGTTGGGCAGATAATATTTTCTTTTACTGGACATATTTTAATTTGTATAACTATCAGATACATACAGGTAATATGAAAAGTGAACCTACTAAAACTGATGCATATTCGAGTTTAAGGGAATTTTGTAATACCCTGCCATGTTAATTCCCCCGAATCAGCCACCTGGTGGCGAAACTTGTAACTACCTACTCGCATCTGAGTAATTGAAGTTGAAAAAAATATCTTTTTAACCTTAAAAAGGTCACCAAATGTCAAATTTTGAAGGTCATATAGAAAGAATGTCGTTCAAGATCGCACGAGCCTCCAATTTCCCCGCCCCCACACACACTAAGAGCCTGAGTAATATAAAGAAGGACTTCAGACACAAATGTGCGTGCGTGTTCTTTGGAAAAATAAATTTCCCCAGTTACTTAAAATGATGATGGTCATTTCGAAAAAGCTATTTAGATTAGACGTAATCAAAAGCTACGAAAACCAAATTTAGTCTCCTGTTTAAAAAGCCCTATTCTTCACTAAATTGGTTAGATTCTAGGTTTGCTCTGCGACATATTTCACCTACTAACGAGAAAGACCAGAATAGTGGAACCAATTCTAAAAAAAATATTAAAATATACTTCTGGTGGATGCGCATTGGTTTCTTTACGAAAACTAAGACTTTTCTTTATCGTCTAGCTTAGACACATTTTATTTTGTTCGTACAGTACTAGGTTTTTATTTTATTAAGCAAAAGGTAACGGTTAAAAATAGAAAATGGAATTCCATTGCTTCACAAAAAACGTTGTAGAAACGAACGTTTGATAATACAATTGTATTTACAATATTTTAGGATGTCAAAATCCACCTCTTTCTAAAGATGGGTCTAAATTCCATGATGATCACTTACAGAACAAAAAAGTTTGGACCCGGTCCAATTACTTTCAAAATTAAACTAATTTGAAGACTTAACAAATACAATTGAACAAGGCGGAAGGAATATATTACATTAAAATACCTTAAAGCACATGAAAGAGTAAAAATGAATCAATATTTTGCTTTCCAACATTATTTATAATGTATGATGGAGGCCATGTCATAGTAAAAGGGATACTCTTGGAATGATTAATGACGTCTAATATAAATGTATCATCCAAAACAGATGTGTATTGGAGGATTCATGATTATTAGACACCCTTTTCTGGAAAAAACATAATAAATGAAGCCACGAACTTTTTCCTATAGCGAGGGCATCGGAGAAGAACTGTACATGTAAAATTGTATGAACGTATCTTGCCAATTTCTTTTAAGTTATCGCTTTTGACATAGGGGTCGTTCAAAATAATTTTCGGCTAATTAATTTCAAACGATAACGTTGACTCTATTTACATTTTTATTTTTACAATTCAATACTTATATCCAAGGAAACTATTGTTTGTTGGACACACACAAATGTGATAAATAATATCTTTTTTGAAATGAAACCAGACTTTTTGAACGATTAACGAAAATATGTTCATTCTTTATTTCTTTGAAAATTGCTCAGGTTACGAAATGCCAATATAGTTCCAATGATGCCGCTTACGAATTTATAAAATATAATGTGTTTCCTCTCCAATTCAAGAAAAAATCAATCGTCATACGAATATTTTAATTTTCGAATTTTGTATTTTTTGAAATATCAATTATCGTAAATTGGCCCATATATTCTAGCTGCTTAAATACAGGCGTTGTTTAGGACAATAATTATTATAAAGTTGTGGATAATACCCTGGTTGATTTTAAAAATAGTACTGCATGTGATCTTTGATATATAGTACTAGTATTTTCTCCTGGTCAGTCAAGTATTCCAATACATTTGTGATATAGTTTAATTGTGTCAAGCAACACTGTTACCAATTTCAACAATATATGAAGAGTATCTCTTGAAAATATAGAACATAGTGGCATAGTTCTAATAAAAATGTATTTTACTCTTAAAAGTGCCCTTATCAGTACTTACATGAATCTACACCTATATTACGAATACTCGTATAATCAATCGACATGTGATCTACAAAAGAACAGTTCCTTTTCTCAACATATTCATTGAGTTAGTTGAAACTATAACATATAATCACAAACTTATGTAGCGCTAATTGAAAAATGCACTGGTGATCCACTCGATTACGCTGGTTACCAAAACGGTTCGTTTTGGTAACAAAATGTCGGAACGTCGAAGGTACGATTTTTCTTTTTTCCTTATTTTAGGAAGAATTTTTTAGGCAGAATTCCCACGACGTTTTTTCTCACAAACGTATATCATGTTTTAGAAAATGTTCATGTTTGAGAAAAAATAGCTCAGAAGACAACAGAATCGTCGATTTAATTCCTCACTTAAGTTACATAAACGGTTTTGGTTAAAAGTGCAGATCTTAACTGTTTTTCGAAAAACCGTTTATGTAACTTAAGTGAAGAATTAAATCGACGATTCTGTTGTCTTCTGAACTATTTGTTCGCACATTATGTACATTTTCTTAAACATATGATACCGATACACCTTCGACGTTCCGACATTTTGTTACCAAAACGGTTCGTTTTGGTAACAAGCGTAAACGAGTGGACCACCAGTGAAATGCAAGAAAATCAGAATGGATACAGCACCCGAGGAAGAGCCTAAACCAGTTCCAAAGACGTACGATGCCTTTTTAACAGATATAGTAGGGCAGAGTTGGTACCAAATTTTGCATTGCGGAGCATTTATCGTTGGAAGTACCTTCGCTTATTGGCAACCCCAGCTAACCAACTTTACTGCTGCATACATGAACCACTGGTGTAAGGTCCCTGGACTTCAAGGCAGATTCAATGAGACAGTTTCCAAGAGTTTAAGCATTCCTTTCACAACAGATGAATCTGGTGATGGTGGGTTTAGTAAATGTCACATGTATGCAGTTAACTTCTCTGCTTACACAGACCAAGAATTACTCAATGGAGCCCACAAAATCAATGCTACAACAACAGTGTGTGATGCTGGTTGGAATTTTGACACTTCACAGTATGAGTCTACATTAATGAGTCAGGTAGCATTTTAACTATTTCTCAAAGTTCTTCAGTACATATACTAGCTATATTGAAGAATAATCAAGAAAGATGGAGGAATTAGTTCAGGACATGGGGAAACTCTCGTATTGTACTCCCGGTATTTTCGCATGCTATAGATTTTCGCGTAACTCGCGATGGTGGTGACATCATGGGTAAAATTGCGAAAAATAATTTATGGTGTTTCTGAATTTCCGCGTGTGCCTGTATGTCCCTACTTTAACTGATGTATGTTATTTGTCATTTTGTCATGAACCAACCACAAAATGTATTTTTTCTTGATTACATTTAAAATGAACTTACTATTTATTGCCGGATGATACTCGGTTTATTTTTTACTATATGAAGTAAACACAAGCGTGTCAGTTTTACAAAAATCTCTAACACGCTTATATATTACATCACAAGACTAAGTGTAGCTCTTAAAAGAAAAATCAAAAAAATCCTTTAAATAAATTCTTCCTTTCAAAGCACGTGAATGGGGATATGCGGTTTCAAGAACTAACAAAACGTTTAAAATTCTTACAATTCTGGGTTGAAGGAAATATTTTGAAAGTTTTTATTTCGAATGTAATTTCCTAATGAATGAAAAGTGTTGATATGTGTGAATTTTTTCATACGAAATGCATACTGCTAGATCTCAGAACCTTAACTTGTTTGAGATGCACGAAAAGTGAATTGTTAATTTACTTGACGTCGTTCACATATTTTGATGTGATTGATGTCTTCGGTAATCTCCAACCACTGTAACTTCCAACTCAATTTCCAAACTTACTTCATATCAAGAACTTAATAAAATGCTTTTTTCAGTATGACCTTGTATGTGGAAATGAATACTTGACTACATTTGCTGCATCTGCAGCGGTGCTGGGATTCGTGTTTGGTGCTTTAATCTCTGGTCAAGTGGCAGATAGGTGTGACATAATATCTCTTACCATTTGACAAGATCTAGAAACTTTTTCCACTTACATAAACTATAATATACTTACAGTTTAATATAATATTGACCATTGGAAAGGAAGTGTGGTATTGACTGAGGGGTAGTATGATATTGACCGAAGGGTAGAATGATATTGATCAAAGAGAAGTATGATATTGACTAAAGGGTGCCATTGACTGAAAGGCAGTATGGTCTATTGACTAAATGGTACTATGATATCAACCAAAGGGTAGCATGATATTGACTGAAGGGTAGTAGGATATTGACTGAAGGGTAGCGTGATATTGACTGAAGGGTAGTAGGATATTAACTGAAGGGTAGTATGATATTGACCGAAGGGTGCTATGATATTGACTTAAGGGTGCCATTGATTTTTTGTATGATAGTATGATATTAGTATACTACAGGGCGTCCACAAAAAAGTATACCCAACTTCAAAACCAAATTACTAGAATCCTGAGCAATCTTTTTGAAATCCAAAGGCAACAGCAAAAAGCCTTACTTGTCCTCCATCAAATGGTACCTAGATCATTATGTGTGGCAATCGATGAGTAATTGGCTTAGTATTCTTTTTCTGTTACATTATGTTAGATGAAAGGACTTTCATAATGAACTGGACTGGGGGCTGAGTAGCTGTCTTATGAAAAGTTGGCAAAAAGCTTACTTACTCTAAAATAGGCCTGCAAACATGGTTCAACTGACACCTGAGCAGTAGAGCCAACAAAAAGCGTCCAGTGTACTGTTTAAGAACCCCTATTCTTACTATTGAAAATGGATTCTAGCAATACTGTACAGCATGAATCTACTTACTGAGACTCAATCAACTTGAGTTCTTCTGAGAAAATGAGGATTTCAGCAAGGGTGTATTGACTTCAATGGGGGATATTATTGACTTCAAGGCTGCATATCATCAACTAGAAGTTTCATTGCTGTTCAAGATTCTCTTGGGATCCGATTCCCGCGAGGGAGGTAGCAATAAAAAGTTATGAAAAATTATGCAAAAAGGTTGAAGAACATGGAACAAGTTTGAATTTGAACGTAAATAATGTTTTGAACACAAAAAAACATTCATTGTGTCAATCCTACTTGAATGCCAACTTGGCACAGTGCTGATTTTACCACCTTTCATAAAAGTCTTGATTGCTCAGTCATCCATGCATATGGCAGTTACATAATGATCTAGATACGATTTGATGGAGAATAAACTAGGCCTTTTACTACAGCCTTTAAATTGTTAAAAAATTGCTCAGAATTCTGGTATCCTGGCTTTGAAGTTGGGTATACTTTTTTGTGGACTCCCTGTACAGTACAGTATTTAGTATGATATTGACTGAAGGGTACTATGATGTCAACCATAGGGTAGCATGATATTGACTGAAGGATAGTAGGATATCTAAGCACATGTGCCAAAGGGAGAGGACCAAAAGTTGTAATGGAACTTAGCAAGAAAAAGCAAACTCTAAGTGCATACCAGTCAATACCCCCTTTCCATTCACAAAAGCCGTCGTCATAATCCATAAAACACAATAATTCACAATGGTCATCAGGAGAAAACTATGGCTGGTTTCGATCCCTATTTCTCAACCATTAATGGCATAGCCGGGATCCACCTCAAAAGGTGCCAAGTGAAAAAATTGTGAGTTCAGCGCCAATGTCTTAAACAATTCCTACATCCTTCAGCATCTCAAGTGGTAAAACTTGTTGACTGAAGGGCAGTATGACATTGACCAAAGGGTAGTATGATATTGACTGAAGGGTAGTAGGCTATTGACTATGATATTGACCAAAGGGTAGTACTGTAAGATATAAACTAAAGGGTAGTAGGATATTGACTGCAGGGTAGTATGATATTGACCAAAGGGTGCCATTGACTGAGGGTTAGTATTATATTGACTAAATGGTACTATGATATCAACCAAGGGTAGCATGTTATTGACTGACGGGTTGTAGGATATTGACAGAAGGGTAGTGGGATATTGACTAATGGGTACTATAATATTAACCAAAGGGTAGTAAGATATAAACTAAATGGTAGTAAGATATTGACCGAAGTGTAGTAGGATGTTGACAGAAGTGTAGTATATTGACTGAAGGGCAATATGATATCGACAAAAGGGTGCTATTGACTGAAGGGCAGTATAAAATTGAAGGGTACTATGATAAAAACAAAGGGTAGTATGATATTGACCAGGGGTAGTATTTTATTGACTGAAGGCTTTTATGATATTGACGGAAGGGTAGTATGACATTGGCTGAAAGGTAGTAGGATATTGACTGACAGGCAGCATGACATTGACCGAATAGTAGTAATATTATGATATTAACTGAAGGATAGTATGATATTAACCAAGGGTAGTATGATATTGACCCAATGATAGTATGATATTGACAGAAGAGTAGTATGATATTGACGGAAGGGTATTATGATATTGAACGAAGGGTAGTATGATATTGACGAAAGAGTAGTATGATATTGATGAAAGAGTAGTATAATATTGACCAAGGGCAGTATGATATTGACTGGAGGGTAGAATTATATTGACTGAAGGGAAATAGGATATTAACCAAAGGGTAGTATGATATTGACCAAGAGACTATTAGGACATTGAATTGGGGGTAGAGGGATATTGACTGAGGGGTATTTTGATATTGACCAAAGGGATATTAACTGAAGGGGGATATGCTTTATGGATAAGATACTCGGTCAAGTCAAGTAACTTAGTCAACATTCAATATTCGTATGTTTATCAATATTTACTAAGAATGGTGCCACAATTGAAGTAAACCTCTGGTTAATTATTTTCAATAAATCAGCAAACGTGTAAATGATAATTTTGATGTTCTGTTACATATTGGTGAAGCAATCTTTGGGATATGACCTAAATTTCTGATTTTCCACAGTGCCCCTGTATACCCCTACTTCAAAAGATGTATGTTATTTGTCATTTTTCATTATGAACCAACCATAAATGTATTTTTTCTTGTTTACATACAGAATGAACTTTCTGTTTTCAAATATTGGTGGTACTGCATTTATTTGTTCATGATATGGAGCAAACAAATGCGTGTCAATTTACACTGCAATATCCTACATACTTAGATTTCAAGGGTAGTATTGAAGAATAATCAAGAAAATCCATGTTTTCAAATGGATTCATAATTGTCAAAGAAGGTAAATGAGGATATGCGGTTTGAAAACCTAACAACATGTTTCAAGTTCTTACAATTCTTGGTTAAAACAAATACTTCGAAAGTTGTGATTTCGAATGTAATATCCTACTCAATGAAATTTGTTGGTATTTGTGATTTTTCTTTCGGAATGCACATTGCTGGATCACAGAACCTTGCCTTGTTCGAGATGCACGAAAAGTGTATTGTTAATACTTGACGTCGTTCGGATATTTGGATGTGTGATTGACGTTTTCGTTAATCTCCTACCACTGTAACTTCCAACTTAACTTTGGAAGTCAAATGTGATAGTCACGAATTGATATTTAAGTCACACGTTTATGCATACATCATGTGTGTACATTAACTGTCGAATACATGCCGACTTACATTTTTATAAATATCCACAGTTAACTCAAATCATCAATTCTCGAAACGATTTATCATATAACCTGGTGAGTTTAATGTTTCATTTTAATTGATAATTATGGTATCAGATTTCAGTATGATATAAGTCGAGGCTTAAACAAAGCAATAAAATTACGTGAAACCTTTTTGTGAAAATTCGAACGATTTTTCTAGAATGCTCCTTCAAAGTGTTACCAAAGTGCTCCCGGGATGGAAATTTCGTCTTGTGTAATCAAAATGATAGCGGCTGGTTTGAATTTTTGTTTGAGTTTATTGCTTACATCTATAAATCTAAAAACATATCGCCTAATTGAGATCTACATGCAGATTTTGACGATCTATCATTATAAAATGCTAAATATTGTGCAAAAACAGGAGTTGACACGCTTTCATTTGGAAATGAAATTTGCTATACATAATCGTCGACTCATGTTTAAAAGTCATGAAAACAAGGTTGAACACAAAACATTGACCCAGTTACTGTCTATTAAGCATGGGATCACCAAGGGAAATATCATTAATGACTTAAATCGTTTACGGTAACTTATCAATTTAGAAATGCAAAATGTTTTCAACGTTTTCAAAATTATTTAAAACAGAGATATTTACATATGTAACATTGATTGGCATGTGTCAGGGAGTAAATAAGAAGAATATGCATTTGATTCTATAATTATTCCCAAATGAGTTTGTTAAGGAGCGGTATATCTTAACGTACTTTTATCATCCCGAACTCAAACATTTCGAATACTTATTTCGAGAACGCTTTGTTGAGAATGGATTCGAGATGTACTCAAAATTAATACGTTAAAATGTGTATTATCGATATTAATAACCAGCTCACAAATTATTTTGGAAATCAAAGATGTACGATTTTTGACAATTTTATTTTCGAATCATGACTTAGTTACTTGACTTGACTGACTATCCAAGGTCAATATCAAATTGTCTGAGGGTAAACCCATCATCAAGCCCGACCAGAAGTAACCTGCTTATTCCATTATAATCTTTCTAAAGTTTTTGTCGATCATTCATCAACCTGTGGTTCACATTTAGCTTCTACTTTACTTTCACTTATATTCCAAATAATTGTCTACCACAGACATTTGAAGAATAAGATTTATGATATAAACATTGGATAAATAATATTATTTTTATTTTTCATATAGATGGGGACGAATGAGAACATCACTAGTGTGGACGATTCTAGAAATCGCTTTTGCAATAAGTACACCATTTTCACCAAATTACATTTTGTATCTTATTCTGAGGGCACTATCATGCATGGCTTCAATGGCAGGGTATACAACGCATTTTACAACTTGTGAGTTACACACACTGCTTATTAGGAGTTAAATTAGTGATAAAAATAAAATTTCTATCTTTTGAAATGGTGTTTCCATGAGGTGAGATTGGAAAATTGTCCACTGACTAAGTGAATACCAGATAAGGTACTGAAATAGTATATTTTGTAAACAAAACATTTCTTAAGACGCTTCGTTGATTATGAGGTTTTATGTCCTGTCCTGATACACAACTCCTGTTTTCAATACTTTGAAGAGTAGTACGAGGGGTGATCAATAAGAAATGGACGCTTTTTTACACAGATGCTTTTTATGGACCAATCTCATTGATTTTTTCACCAATTATACATCATTCAATTATCTATCAACTCCGAAGATTTGAAGACAAAATATGTAATGCATGTTGATATATCTTTATTTCCGTGAAGGGGGTACAGGTACCCCGGGACCGACATTTACGTCACATATTCTGAAGTAATGCCAATATCAGTTAGATTTGAAATTTTTGATATGCCACAAGAGTTGTGTTGTTTGAATATCATGCTGCCTGCAGTAACACATAAAAGATAAGTATTGTAAGGTTAAAGTATTGTATGGTCAGGGTTTGCAGGTTGATTTGAGAATGCAATGTGGAAGAAGAGGCTAGTGAGAGGAGGTGGCACCCTAATCCATGTGGACAATGCCCATGCCCAAATATCTCAAAATGTCCAGGATACAATATCCCTGGACCTGAACATGAAGCCCTTGGCGCATGCACCCTTTAGTTCAGATCTGGCCACACATGACTTTTATTTCTATACTACTTTTTTTATAGAAAAATGATGCAGGTTAAAGGACATTGATGAAATAAAACAAGCTGTGCAACTGCCGTTTTCTACCATGTCAGAGAATGGAATCAGCCATGTCTTTCAATCTTGATTAAGGGGATAATGAGGAAGTGTGTAGCACTTAATGGAACCCATGTAGAGGGTCCTGAAGAATGAATGTGGCATGAATGCCACAAAGTGAAGGCACAATATTCATAATCAATTATGGCGTATCGAAATGGTGATTCATAACCATCGTGGTTCGTTTTGTTAAACCTGCATTAAACTGCATTGCACATTAAATGAGCTAAATAGCTTCAGAATGTGTGACGTTATGTCGGTCCCGGGGTACCCATATGTCCTTCACAGAAATAAAGATATATCAAAATATATTTCCTGTTTTGTCTCCAAATCTTCAGAGTTGATAGAAAATTGAATGATGTATCACTGGTGCAAAAGAGATTGGTCTATAAAAGGCATCTATGTAAAAAAGCGTCCATTACTTATTGATCACCCCTCGTATAGAGAGTCTTTTGTTTTACAAATTTAGCAAAATCCCATGGCGTTTCATTAACCTTCAAATTGTTTTTGAGGTGCGTTTTGACCCCAGAGCACATTCTTTGCAATAATTTTATCAGAAATAATCATCCAATCTCCACGAAAGTCCACCTTATCCTCGATTAATTCATTTGTAGAGATTTATTTTTGAAATATTTTAATTCTTCCAATTCACCCCTTGTTGAAATCCTCCATAACTTCAAAAACTCCAAGGGATTAAATTTTGCTTAAAAGAAAGGAAACAATACTAAAGATTCCAAGTAATGAAACTTATAATTTTCAGCAGGATATATTTCTGGATTTTCTGGGATTCTGGTTACTACAAATGAACAGTATATCCTCCAAAACATTAAATAAAAACACGCGAAAAGCTTAACCTGTTCAGGGCGCGAAATATTGCACCCGCCAATCGAAATACGTATACAGGATTTACGAATATGATTACATTTAGATGATTTCAGAAATTGAAATAATATATTTGTAAAATTAGAATTGATGCCATTTATAAATATGCAGGCTTGGAGGTTTTAACATCCAATGGTCGGAATGCATTTGAAATAGTTAATACTGCGACAAGCATCATCAGACTTGGCACATTACCACTGACTGCTTTCTATGTGAGGAATCATATTACTCTACAACTTGTAGCAGGAGGACTCATCATTTGTAATGCTGTTGTGCGATGGTATATACTATAGTAGTTAACGAATTGAAATTCAATTCATATATTAATAATAATTCATAATAATAATGATCATTGAATTTTTGAAAATAATCTTTTAATAGCAATAGTATTTTGCTGCATTTTGAAAATCCAAGATCTGAATGGTAAACATTGCCAAAAGCCATTGATCATGTTAGTGTATGGAACATTGGGGTAGCATGCATGGGACATGTATCACACATCTTTCATATACCTTTTCAAATTCTGATAAACAGACAGAAGTGTCATATGAAATTCACATAGGGAAACACTTTTGAAACAGAATATTACAACCATATATAAATCATTCAAAGCATATCTTCCCACCTGGATGCAAATGAAAGATACTATTATATATATTTTACTTTCTCTCAGATCCGGATCTTTTAAAAACTATTATAAAACCTTTATTTCAACTACCAGATCTAGTACTATTGTTCTTCTACCATTTATAGCATAACGCCAGAGTCTGCCAGATGGCATTTGTCCATAGGGCAAGTTAAAGCTGCCACAAAAGTGACCAGAATCATGGCAAGAGTTAATGGAAAAGAAGTTCCAGAGAATCATGAACAGTTAATGGAAGGAATTGCAGAGGTGATAATATAATACATGTTCATGTGCATAATCGTGAAATGTTACAAAGGTGACCAAGTTCATGACAAAAAACAATGGACATATGCAATGTAAAGCTACCTAGACGTTTTGCAAACTATACCTTTCTACACATAGAAAAGACAAACGTGCAATATTATTCAATAAAATAAAATAAGATATAACTTAATGCAGTATACGTAGATGCAAGACTAGTACAGATCATAAAATATGTAATAATTAGTCAGTGTTTGATATCTTGATCAATGAGCAATATATTAGGCAATTAATTACTCGTCTCTGTGCATGTCATCTTCCCATAATGTTACAACATACTTTGTTCTGCACCAATAATAGGTTACTCGGGGATCATACTCTTGAAGCAGTGGTTTTGATCATTCAAAATTTGCAATTATCTACTAACAAGGTTACGGGAAATCCTTTATAATATCACAAGTAAAATAAATATATAATTCATTTTCACTTCTTTTAAATGTTATTAGGAAGAACGGAAGAAAGAAGGAGGAAAGAAAGCAATCATTTTCGACTTGTTCAGGACGCCAAGGATGAGACGCATTACATTCATTGTCTTTGCAATATGGTAAGGACATTATCGTCATACATGCACATATGCATGGAACAATTAAAACACACAGGATTCGGCCAGGGAGGTGCGATCACCAAACAATCGGTTTTCAGTCATGTGGTACGATCGTGACATAAGCAACCCCAAAAAATAATTATTCTAAGATTTGTTTTGAGTTTTACGAAAATTGATGCAACTTTTTTCAAAATTGATATAGGAACTTCAAATAAAAAGCATTTTAAAGCTCTTCTTCTATCTTCTGCTTGTATTTCTGTTGATTATGGGGGGGGGGGCGCTCGTTGCCCCCCTGGCTACGCCTATGCCATACTAGTTCAACGTCGTTAAACTCAATAACGGCGTTATTTATTTTTAAGAATTTTCTTGGGGCCGTTATTGAGTTTAACCTCTTTACTATTCTTTCCATTGATGCAAGTTTTGGATCCACCGAAACCATTTTTCCGCGATAACATGCAACTGATACTTGACAACAATATAAAATAAAAACACATAACATCAAGCGATTCAACGCGATATTATTGTATTAAATGGTCATTTATACGAGTAAAATGAGGTTAAACTTACCAATCTCTAAAATGACATTTCCGCATGTCCGTCATTGTGTCTGTTCGTCCCGGGTTAAAATTTAAACTATTGAAACGAAATTGTCGTCAAATAGATTGATAATTATCACGCGATTACTCGGGATAAAATAACCATTTTTGAGGATAGCAGGTATCTTCGATTGATGTATATAGCGCTTGTCAGTGTCGCAATGACGGTTAATTCCTGATACGATTTGCAATTTCGATGTTACCGGAGCTGACCGATATTTTCAAATTCCAACCCGTCTCCAATATTTTCGTAATTATGCATCAATATGGTCTAAAGGGGATACGGGATGGTGTGTATGTATTTATAAGGTATGTATGCATGCTTGAATCACATTCTTTATGTAATATTACCATGTTTTCGGAGTTTAATTAGTTCCGCTTGTCGGAACCTGCGGAACGATTAAATTAACGCATCAAGGGCAAAATGATCATGGAGGTTAAACCTAGCCGGGGCCATAAGACATGTCAGATAAGAAACGAGGCCCAGGCTAGGTCTAATGTTGTTGGACTAATGCCATACAAATGTTGATAACCCAATCATTCAGCATGGGTTTAAAGTCATATTTAACACAAACATGATACAAACCATAGCTATGTTCTTTCCTACCGAATACCATTGGTCTACTTCCAAATGGTCACGATTTTATGGCCATATCACATACTGGCCTAGTCTCTGAAGAGGCAAAGTTGTTCACTACACGCTTGAATGCTCTCATCTTCCTTCACACCCCTTGTTTAAACCCTCTGATTAATCTAGGGTTGTTAATGTACATAGACATAATATTTGAGATAGCGTCAAGACGTTTTGTAAAATGGCATTATTCGAAACCATTGGAAAGAGACGATTGCAAATTAAACTTGAAACGAAGGTACATTGAACACGGTGACCATTTTCTATATAGATGTATAATTAATACAGGGCGTCCACAAAAAAGTATACCCAACTTCAATGCCAGGTTACTAGAGTTCTGAGCAATTATTTAAAAGTACAAAGGTAGCAGTAAAAGGCCTAGTTTGTCCTCCATTCAATGGTACCAAGATCATTATGTAACTGTCATGGATGACTGAGCAATCATGACTTTTATGAAAGAAAATCAGCACTGTGTAAAGTTAGCATTCACGTAGGAATGACACAGTGAATGTTTTTTTTTTATTCAAAACATTATTTATGTTAAAATTGATAGTTGTTTTATGTTCTTCACACTTTTGCATAATTTTCCATAACTTTTAGTTGGTACCTCCCTCTCGAGAAATTGGATCCAAAGAGTCTCTTGAACAGCGATTGATATGCAGCTTTGAAGTCCGATATCCCCATGTAGCGTCAATAACCTTTCCTAAAATCCTCATTTTCTCAGAACTTCGAGTTTATTGAGTCTAAACAAGTAGATTCATGTGGGACAGTATTGCTGGAAACCATTTCAATATTAAGAATAGGGGTTCTATATGTACTTTTCTATTAACAGTACATATAGCTCTGAAATCTCGTTAAGTCTCGTTTTTAATGAGATTTTTGGAGATCTGCATTTTTAACCATTGAAAACTAACATTTTCTTTTATTTGATGGCATATTTGAATTCTGTGTGTAATTTTTCTATTAAAACAACTTTTTGATTTGTACCGTTAAATTTACCTTAATTCAAATTCTAATGATTTTCTGGTTGTCTAAAAAAGGTCGGGCTAAATCCCCATTGACACAATGCTGAAAAACCTTTAAAAGATCAAATAGTCGAACAAAGATCATAAGTATAATGTGAAATTACAATCCACATGTCAATAAGATCATATAATTACATTCCAATGGTGTTTTAAGTTGTTCCAAATGGAATTACTTCTTAAATCAAGAAAGTAAGTGACTCTGGCAATACATTTACATGTATTCTAGCCCTACCATAGCCCTACCAGTACTCATGATGCCATCTATTTTCCCATTATATGGAAAAAGGTCAATTGCCACACAGGAAGGTAACATGGCATAGTGCTAATTTTACCACCTCTCATAATGGTCAAGATTACTCAGTCATACATGACCTTTACTTCTACCTTTGTATTTTAAAAAACTGCTTAGGATTCCAGTAATTTGGATATGAAGTTGGGTATACTTTTTGTGGACGCCCTGTATTTACAGTTTTTTCAACATTTTGTCAATGGGGATTTAGCCCGACCCTTTTCAGAAAACTTAAAAATCCTGGAAATCTGAATAAATAACTGTGTAATAGAATTTAAATATGCCATAAAAAAGAAGAAAATGTTGGTCTTTAGTGGTTAGAAATGCAGATCTCATAAAGTCGCTTAAAAACGAGACTTTAACGAGATTTCAAAGCTATATGGAAAAACCTCAATTGTGCCTAAATATGAGTTTGTAAACACATGCTGAATGACTGAGTCATTAGCATTTCTTTGTGTTACCTTCTTTGGCTCACCATGTACTGAATTAATATAATGATCAACGAAAGAAGTATTAACTAAATCAATTTTGAAGTAAAAATTATGCACAATTATCATTTCGTCTTTTATGATTTTCCAAACCTAGGTTTGCTTGTGTATTTGCTAACTATGCAGTACAGTTGAACATCGGAACACTTATTCCTGGAAATGTGTACCTGAATATGTACATAGTCTTAGGGCTAGGGCAAATTATGGTATTACCAATCAAATATGTAGTTTACTACAAAATTGGACGAGTTAAGGGATTGGTGCTTGCTCTAATCATCTCAGGATTATTTTCATTCAGCATGATTGGCTTTGTCAGGCTGACAAGTAAGTGATTAATACCCATGTTTATGAGAATAGAGTTCAAATGCAAATTAAAGAAATGAGCACGAATGTACACGTAACTGTGTATATAGTCACAAATTGGATGGCTCGTTAAGGCTGACCTTTATGAAATACAATATGTTGACATATACAATTGTATAATTTTTTCATGTTCATACAACTAACAAGATTATTTTGCTAATATAGTTGATGTGGTTATAACTGTGTTTTATGTGTATGCTCAAAGCACAACCATATGTTTAAAAATAGGACTAGATAGAATTCGAATTACGTCCATTAGCGTTGGATGCGTGCATTCCCTCATTCTACCAACGCGACAACACGATATATGCCCTGTTTGTTCATCATTGTGTATTCTCGCATAGTTCAAAATATCACTAGCACTGGTTACCTCGGAACAACCCACGATTAGCTTTTTCGTGAGAGGAACAGGTTAAAATATTCAATTTACCCATATTTCGAAAACCTAAATTTTTATAAGACAAGGCAAAACAAGGATCCATCTCCATCTTTTCATCTTTCTAGGCATACCAGCTTTAGCTGCCATTGCTTCATTAATTGGACTAGCATTTGCAGCTACAGCTTTCAATGCAGTATATCTATACAGTGGAGAGATCTTCCCCACGCCAGTCAGAGCTGCAGGGTTGGGGGTAGGATCTAGCATTGGTAGAATAGGTGGACTCATTGCACCACAAATGCCACTTCTGGTAAGTATGATTCACTATCTAAAGTGAAGAATAAAGAAACTGGTTGCAACTACAGAAAAAAATCGTAAAATCTTGTGTAACAACCACCAATCATCAAAGATGTAAGCTTTTCAACTCAATTCATACTCTATGCATTTAAAACATATTATGATTACACTTTTATATGTTGACATCGTAAAATTGACATTTAAATGGCCGCCATTTTGAAACCGGTACAGCCATTTTTAGAATTGGGTCCCGTGCAGAACTTGTACTGAAATTGGGCATAAACGTAGAAAATATAAACGATAATGGTCCAACGGTATTTGAGTTATTGCTCGGACGGACGGATGTACGGACGCACAGATGAACCCATTCTCTATATCCCTCGAAGCTCGTTTGATCAAGGGAAAGATCAATACCCGGTGATTTCAGCGGGAAGTGGCATTTCGTTCAGTGGATGAGCTGCGCGCGCACGCATAAATGTGATTATCCAATATAAGAGGAGGGAAAGCCCCAGAGTTTAAAGATGACAGACATAATTACCTCTCTTGCTTACCACCTTCGTTCGTTCGAATTTTCATCGGCTAGTTATCAAATACTACACTTCGATGGGATGTTTTAATTGATATAGGCATATTCCGTACACCTTTCTTTATCTTGATGTGAAATGAGAAGCTATGATATTGGTTAACACGCCAGAAATGAACATAATATTATTCGAAGCGTATTTCGAAAATTTTGAAACCGCCATTGATGACGTCATTTGTTTGTCGACTTTTGACCAATCAGCGACAATGTCATCTCAATACAGATTTACATTATAAGCGTATGTCATCTTTGAACCCTGGTGTTTCTCCCCCTCTGATCCAATATGGGACAATTCCACAGATAAATGCTGTAATGTAATCCAATGTGAAAATATTGAAATCTTTGGATTGATTATGAAAAAACGAGGATTTTCGGTACATAACCCCATATACCACGGGATAGGTCCATATGTCCCCTTTCAAATCAAAACAAAAATTGCATAGAACACCCATAGAGAAAAAAAGATATGACTGCTTTTTCCGCTATCTATCCGAATTTTACACAATTTTTAATAGATTTCAAACTCAAGACCACCGTCACAAAAAGTCAAATATTTGAAGTGAACCGAATCATTTCGCCATACTTTTTGTAAAATTATATACACACGAGATAAACAAAATAAAATATAAAATCTGTACATTTTCACTGGTGATTGCACTGATAAATATTGATTTCAATCAACCATCATCCCGATTTTAAATTTAGATTTTTTGTCCTTTTCACTAGCGCCATCTGTGGAGCTACCTTTTCACTAGCGCCATCTGTGGAGTTATCCCTATATTACTGTAGGCTATAAGCACAGTGACCTACAGAGGGCGCTATCACAAACAAGTACTGCACGAACCGATAAATTCCCGGGTATTGTAACGCTCTTGGTTTGATTGGATAATGAGGGAGTGGTTGGGAGATATAAATCAAATGCATTTATTTTTCAACCTTACCAGGCTAAAACATGGTATGGATTACCATATCTCGTAATGGGAATTATACCAATCCTTACTGGCATCATGGCCGTCCTCCTACCAGAAACAATGGGCAAGACTTTACCAGAGACTCTAAAACAAGGTGAACTATTTGGAATGTAAGTTTTTCTTGACATTGTTAGTCATGGGGTAATTTTTTATGTTGGTAAATAAAATGCAACTTACCCCTTCTTACTCCTTAAAGGTGCAATAATGAGGGGTCATTCAACGATCATGGACCAGTGTCAAAATGTATTTAAGTTTGGATATTTCATCAAGACTAACATCTATTTTTAGTACAAAGAAACCCCCTAGATAAACATTATTTTAGCTGATATTCCTCTTGAAACATGGTGGATCTTAAAAATATAAAAGTGGAAGTCCCCTTTTTGAAGCTTTGAACTGAATTTACACTTCTTAATGCTGAAGTTGATAATTTATCCATTCATTTTAAGAAAATAGGTATGTCAAAGAAGATGTTAAACCAAATGTTGCCTTGATAACTCAGAAAAAATGAAAAAACTTTCCTATTTTCTCTACAGTCCTTATTGCCCCTTTAAGTGCAGGACTAGCCAGATATTAGTTATTTGTTTTGTTCTATAGTCATTAACATATAAAAGACAAGCCACACAAAAACTAATTAGTCAAGTGAATTTCGATTCCTAGTAGTCTACCCCGGGTGCTCTACTTACTATATATTGATTGTATAGATTCATGATTGTAAAGATTCATCGAGCAGTTTGCAGAATATTATTACCAAAAACTATAGAAAAGGGTAGGGAATAGGAAATAGTGAGTAAAACAATAAAACCAAGATTGAAGGCAATGTAGCCTGCTGTTATTCATATTACGCGTGATAGTGTTATCTATAGATACGTTCTAGTTTGTTTTCTCTCCATTCCAGAGAAAGGAATGAAGAAATCTTGAGGGAGGGACACGTAGAACAACATGCTGTGGAAATGACTGAAGTCACAAGGAACGAAACTGCAAACAAGTCAACATCTAACCAGCTATATTTACCCTTACTACAGCGATCTACCAAGGCATGCTGAGAGTGAACGAAAAAGCTGTTAAGAAACCTAGCAAGAAGAACGTTATATCATATGATATTCATCCTTAAACTTGGGTATTTGTTTGGCCCACCCTGTATACAAAACCATGATCTAACGTGGATGGAAACAATGTCTAGCACCCCCCCTCCCCCTATACCCCCTCATATCACCGAGAAAAATAATAACCATGAGTCCATGATTGTAGAAATAAACTAAAATAAACTAATAAATAATAAAGTAAAACTAAAATTGATTATAAGTACTGTTTATACTGGTACATTGTGACTTGTGAGCCACTTTGAAATAAGAAATTAGTACATAGTACTCAGGGTTGATTATTTGTCAAAATTAGCTTCTTATGGTGATCGATTTAATATGATCAGCAGTATTATGCTTCTAAGTATTCACATATGAAATATATAAACAAAATCGTTCCACTAGCTACCTCTTCAATTATAACAAAAACAACATATTTGAGTTATTGCCCGGACAGGCGGATGGACCGATGATACTGATACGTTCGGACAGAGCCGTTCTGTTCGTTCGATAATAGAAAAATTATTGATTTAAAGATGTATTAAATCATTGTAAGAATATTTAATTGGCTTCTACTTAGCACAAAGTCTCCGTTTATTCAACCAATGGATGCTATTAATTTAAAGAACCTCTTGGTGATGGCATAACTAGAAGTCACTGCACATTAACAACAGCCACAATTTTCTCCTTCATCCAATCCAATAAATAATGGAATTAATTTTTATATATATTACATACATGTCGGTAAAACGATCAACAGTTTAAAGTTCGTATGAACCAGCGCTACATAGATACAATCGATGCTAATGAAATAATGAAAGGTCCAAGGTAACATCTTACAGAGAGGACTCCTAGGCCTAAAGACGTGCGTTGAGAGCCTGCCGTCGAGGTCAAAAAATAGTCCTAAAGAAAATTGCATGGTTAGCGTCGTTAGTAGAGATTTTGGCATAGATCTGAGTTCCGTTTCGCTCATTCTACTTTCCGCAATTGGTTTTTCGTTTTCCAAAGGCATATTTCGGGGACACTGAGTAAGTGATTCAGTTTTTGCGCAAATAAACGTTTCCATTTTCAGGGTTGTCTAAATGGTTCACACAATTAATTAATCAGTCCGCTAGATTTTACCAATCAACAAAGCTCTCCTTCCGCCGCCTTGGAATTACGAATAGATGGCACTTTACAATAAAAAATATAGTCCAGTTATTTAGATGGTTCGCTGATTGGTTACTTTCTAGGCGGGCTATCGTGCGATTGGTTCATCGGGAGAAGGCGCGTTAATGGACCAATCACAGGCGACTAGCATTCGTGATTTCTCTGCAGCCTGAATCCACTTTTTAGGCGAAAGTGTCGCAAAACATGATGCTGAAACGAAAATGATTTTTTTGCCCTACCCCTCTTGGAAAATCGTCGATTTCTCTCATTTCCTAAAACTAACGTCGCTATGTGTGTACCCATCTTGAAGATAATGGAAAGCTCTGTCTCTCAATAGGTATTTTGCGGAGATTGGATGTCGAAAAATAGAAGAAAAACAGCGTTCAAAGTGATCGTGGGTTTTCGAGAAAATGCATGTAGGGGATAATTTTCAATCGGACGTTATTGGTCTTTCAACACGCAGACATCGGCCCGATTTCAAGTATTCGATGGAGCTAGTTATCTCGTCCGGCGGGCAAGACAATGGGGGCTATTAAACTATGAAAATCTAACACAATCCCCTAGAAACGATTGGACCTGGGCCTAACCTGTAGCGGGCAACTAAAGCCAGCAAGTCAGAATCACACACACAAACAGTGAAATAAGTCGAGCTATTATTCAGGTCAATTCATTTCATAGACTAAGCTTTAAACGAAAACACATGCATTATCACACGTTATGTAAGTTAAGCTTACGAGTAATTATTATTCATTAACCTATTAATTTCTCTCTTGTAAGGAAAGGTGGTCCTGAGAAGGACCTTGTGATTGTTGTTGTCGCTGGGTTGTTTAACCTCCGAATCCGTACAGAGTACGGCCTTGTCTCTTCAGAGCGTAGACGACGTCCATGGCGGTGACGGTCTTTCTCTTGGCATGCTCGGTGTATCTAACTAGCATAAAGTTGTTGCAGTCTGAATCCACTTTTCTGATCTAAACTGGCTGTTTAAGAAATGGCACTTATCGGTCTATAACTCCGCCGTCTGTGGACGGATTTCTAAATAAATCAAACCATCGTTTAGCCCGTTACGATAGCTTTCCGATGGTACCGCTTTGGCAGTGATCGAATTGCGAGAAAATTGGTGAAATCCAGGGTAAAGACGATTTCTCAAATTCCAAGTTTCACATAAGAAATGCGGCGTTCTGATTGGTCGGCTTTTTTGCAGTCCCAATCTACTTTTAGATTCCAAACTGGACGTTTCAGAAATGACGACACTTATCTGTCTTTTTCTCCGCTGTTTCTCCATCGATTTCTAAAAGAATAGTGTCACAGTGAAGCTGATGATGCCAGCTTTCCGACGGTAACAAAAGAGGCCAGTGATGTGAAAATCGCCAATAGCACAGTGTTATAGCATGACGGTCACGCCACCTCAAACGAGGTTGGACAGCTACGTTCACTGATTTATCCAATAAAATGGCCGCGATGGAAGAGAAAACTAAGCTTGGCGCATTATTTTCTAAATTTCTTAGATAAATCATTTAAAACCTACATCACTATTTTTGCTTCAAACATGATAACGTACAGCTAAGTGTACACCCTATATTTTGTCACTGTACGTTTTCGAGCGTTAGGCGTGTTAATTGTGCAATTGATTCCTAAATGTTAATAAGGGTCTGGACAGGGACACTGGATACAGTTTCTCCACGCGTTAAATCATAATCTGGATTTATATTGAACTTGTTTTCCTAATGATAATAGTGTTCTTGGATGTTTCTTCATTTTCTTACTATGCTTTGTAATGCTCTTTAGTCGTCTTATCTCTTTTTTGGGCTTATGCTTCCATAGTATGGCTTCTGAACACATAAATCATATTCCTTTGTTATTGTTTTAACGTTATCCAAAAATAGCTAAGCACTATATTCTCCTAACAAGGAAGAGATGATTATTAATTGTCCAGAAAAAACAAACCTCATTTTAGTATTGTCCGTGGAAGAGCGTACTTTGGTGAATATTGCAAGTACAGAGCGGTACTGTACCTACTTAAAGTGAAAATCAACACATTCATTAATTATTAAAACAAACATCGAACTTTGGTTTAACCTTAAAAGGCAATATGAAGAAAACAACGTTCAAAACGTTCGTAATTCTTGCGGTGATCGTCCTTGTAAGTGCTTATCCAACAAGCCAAAGAATAAGACACTATCATCGACATGGTAGGAAAGAACCAACCAACGAAGACTGGAGATTGTCTTGGAAATGGGGGTCTAGAATTATTAGACATTCTAGTGAACGATCTCAAAATCAAGGTAACGATGACAGAAGACATAACATACATGTAAACACTGATAATTGGAATAAACAAGCAGACCACATTTCGTCAAATCAAACAACGGGCAATAGACCTGCTTCGCCGGGAGCTGGACGGTTCAGGGGAACGAATCTGGATGGCCTGGTAGGTAAACTTGCCCGTAGCCAGAATTTACCAGGAAGGGAAGCTTTTGCCAGGGGGGGGGGGGCTTTTTAATACTTTTTGCTGAAAATTCATGCAAAAAGTGCTCAGAATCTTGAAAAACTGCATGATTTTGAAAGAATTTCTGGCCGGGGGGGGGGGCTTCCGCTCCCCCACCCCAGGCTGCGGGCCTGGTATATATGATTTATTTATTTTGGGTTAATTGATGGCTAAATGATATAAATGAGTTGAGAGTAATGTTTTGAAAGATTTTCAGATTATAGAACATCTTTCTGCTTTTTTTTATTTTCTGAAAATCTTAAATCTCACTTTTGTGATTTTTGTATCATTTGCCCTGACAAATAAGTATAACGTCCCCTTTTCTATTCTTATGAATTAGATGAGTCTTTACAGTTCTTTCAGATAACATTTTGGATGGTATATTTTATTTATTTATTACAGTGTCACCCGTAATTATACGGCCAGCCTCCAAAGGCTTATGAGACACAATTACAATCATATTATAAGCAGATAAGTCAGAATTAACACTTACTTTAATCTATCTTTAGCCTCCAAAGACAAAAAATTTGAAACATATTTACAGAGTGATTTAGAATTCAATAAGTACATTGTTTTCTTTTCATTAAAACATAAAAATGAAAGAAGGGCTCTGATAAGAACACATAACTCAAAACGATATTATTCATATAAAACTATTGCTGAGAGAAACAATTTGACAATCACAAGCATTATAGAAATGAAGCATTACAGAAACAATTTTCTAGAATGCCTATATGCATTATATGCTTTTGAAGCTAATATCATCGATGGTTTTCACATTGCTTTTACCAACATCCGGGATAACGCAGAAGTCATCAAATACGGGATATAGAATAATACTTAGATCTATTAGTCAGTCAATATTTTTGTAAGTGTTACAAGCAATTATAAATAATGGGATGCGTTATTTGGTATTTAGACGCATATTTAGGATCAATTTGCAAATAAGTTTCATCATATGACTGGATTTTGATGTCCTATGGTTTTGGGATTTTGGATTGCACTAGCGGTTGTACAAATAATTCCGGGGAAAGTTTGTCTGTTTGCTTATACTTTCGGTTGGGGTATTGGGAATGGTTTCCGTATATAGGTTGTGAGTTTTACCTTCATTTTGCTCAAATTGTTCTGTGCTAACTACATTTGTATTTTTGCATTTGGCCGTTGTGCTAACATACAGGGTGTTCCAAAAGAAACAGGTCAGGTGCTGACATTTTGTTAAATATGTACTAATTTTCTTCAAATTTTTTAATGATCTACTTTCAAGTATCGCAACTAACCCTTATGCTATTCTATCACATACTTATACCCTGTGAAATCTGAAGAGTTGTTTCGAATATACAAATATACAGATATACAGCGCGTGGCTGTGTTTTCTTCTACAAATTGACTTTGTATCGTTTTGGTCAATCAGTCATTCTTTAAACCCATTTCTAAACATTCGGTACTTAATTTATAGTTACAATTTTACTTGTAGAAATATCTTCAACAGTTTGGGTACATGCAACCTACCTCGTCACCAGCAAGAGATATCGAGTCTCTCCATGGAAGACGAGGAGGGCAACAAACCTCATCGCCGGCACGAGCTCTTGACGAGTCTTTGGATGGAAGACGAGGAAGACTTCGTACACCTGAAAATAGTATGTCTGAGGCAATCAAAAAGTTCCAAAGGGTCGCTCATATTAAACAAACAGGTAACATCTTAAGAATACTTTTAAAGATGGCAGATCAATAAAATATTATTTAATTTGCTATGTTTTGTAATACACTTACACATATGAACTTTTCGCAAAAATATATTAAGAACGAGGGACGTAACCAGAGTATGAAACAACCATACCTTTTGAAGTTAATTTTGGAAACAGGTATCTTAGACGAGGCGACATTGACCATGATGGCAAAACCAAGATGCGGAGTACCCGATAATAAAATCGCAGAAAGCAACACAAGAACAAAAAGATATACGACATACTGTAAGATTTTTAAAAGTGGTAACTTAAAACTAGATTTCATTCTGAGTTTTTATTCATATCTTTTGCATGATGATATCAGGACCTCGGGGTCACTTTCAGAAAGTACCGTAAAACACAAAACTAGGTACGTCATATGTGCTTTTTAAATGACGGTACATTATTTTAATTTAGCCAGCAAATGGGAGAAAACTCGTCTAACGTACAACATATCTGGCTTTACAAGGGATCTTGACCAGGCCACAGTGGAGAAAGATATTACGGATGCATTAAATGTAAGCATTTTTAACGTGCAATTTCGCTCACACCATTTCCATAGGAGTCCTGTAGGGTCCTATATCAGTTGAGATTTCAATATCTAATTGCTTTATTTGTGATAATGGTTCGTGAGCGATGTGGAAAGGCAAGTTAACACCCTACGTCATGAAATATATTGTCACTTTTATATTTCATATCCGTGACAATCTTAAGAACGATATTGTTACATGGTATATGTTATGGTAGCTAGATATCACATTCAACAACGAAAAAATAAATACTCATGGTATTGTTCTCGAATGTGTAAAACGTTTATTCCTGTTTCTATAGTTCTGGACGAGTGTCACACCCATCACTATCACAAAGGCAGACCAGGAGAAGCCAGACATCGACATATTATTTGCCCACACAAACCATGGTGATGGTAAGCCGTTTGATGACCAAGGAGGAGTGCTGGCTCATGCTTTCGAACCATCAGGTGCTGTAGAGTTTGACATTGCTGGTGATATTCATTTCGATGAGGGAGAAGATTGGACTCATGGAGAATACAGAGGTATTTAATCAACAACACAACACGGCCAGGCATTGGGTAGATATAGATAACTGTAAGACATCAAGAGACATACTGTTTGTGTGCCTCCATTGGATTCCGTTGGCGGATTGTATTTTTGATTCGTGGATGCAGCCTTTTTACGTTGTCTAATGTAATCGTATATCTTCATACCATTTCTAATTACTATCGATCTATCTATCTAGGAAATTCCCCTGGGGTGCCTACACATAGTAAAGTACATCCCTTTTCTTTGTATAACAATTTTGTTGTTAGACTCTACATTTTGTTTTAGGAGCAAATCTCATGTATTCAGCTGTTCATCAATTTGGCCATGCATTGGGTCTCGATCACTCAGATCAGTTCATGTCGGTGATGTTCCCATTTGGACGAAAGTACAATCCTAATTTGAAGCTTTACCAAGATGACATTGATGGAATCCAGTCATTATATGGTAAGTTTCTATAATATAAATCAAATTGTTTTGGACCACACATTGCATATATGTTTCAAAAGATATCCTGAATGATATTATTATGTTTTGAGGTGCTAACCCTGAACCACCAAAGCCCAGCACCACCCCTACTCCTACTCCGGAGCTTAGTACAACCGAACCATCAACTGCGTCGCCAGAGACGTGTGTCAACACTGTGGATGCAATAACAGTCACTGTACTTGGTGAAACCGTAGCATTCCGAGGTGAGACGATGCTTTTATATATACATGTACTATATATATTATGCCTACATGTCATATGAATCTAAAACTTTCAAAGATCTTATGTTTGAGCCTCACAATATATCAGAAACTCAAATCTCATCCTCTGATTTGTAGATTCACAGGTTTATCTTTTGTCTGTAAGTGATTATGGCGTCCAAGAAGGATACCCCAAATCTCTTTCTGCCATGTTCCCCGATGGCCCAGAGGCAGTGGATGCGGCTCTTACGTTCCCTCACTACCTATCAAGAAGGGGACAGAAATACACGTGGTTGTTTAAGGTAATTAAGCTGCTAATTAATGGAGTTGGTGAATGTCTGAATACTTCTGATCATACAAGTCGTTTAATTCTAGATTTATCGTTTATCTGTTTAATATAATCGGAATCATATGATGAATGCGGAAGAAGGCCATTGTGCCAAATCAAACTCAGTAACTGTGAACTCTTCTGAAGTCGCCAAGAGTTATCAGTTCTATGAGCTCCATTCTAGAAGAACGTGAGTTACTTCAAGACTTTTGATTTGGCCCAGTACGGTTTTGTCGCCAAGTGTATGGTTTATAGGAGATCATTTTGTTCAAAACACAAACTTGTGATGTGAATAGTAAGCCAAATCCAATTTAATATAGTAGGCCAGATTACCCTATCCATGTGAACAGATAACTTTAAACTAACGATTAGTACGTATACTTTGTATGATTATAGGGTGACAAGACCTGGAAGTACAAAAATGATGGAGGGGCGCTGGTGTTGGTGACTGGCTATCCGAAGTACATCTCTGAAGACTGGGGAATACTGGGTAAAATGGACAGTAGGTCATCGGAAGGGATATATTCTGCCTATGTGTGTACCCGTGGCAACGTTCATTTAACAAAAGGTTTGGGATTTTGTGATACAGCATCTAACCAATTGTAGGTAACCAATTTTTGAAATATAATTGTATAGAGAAAACTGATACAGAGAGAAATCGGAGCTCTAAAATGATAATATATAACCTTGGATCTTTGAAAGTACATTTATCTTTACTACCATACTATCATTGCCAGGGAACAAATATTGGAAATATGGCAGGAGGGGGAAGGTGCTCAGAGGTTACCCAAGGTCAACCAACAGAATCAAGTTTCTTAGACGAGCTGGAATCACTGAGGTTGATGCCGCCTTCCGATGGATCAACAATACAATATATTTCTTCAAGGACGGGCAGTACTATGGGTAATTTTGAAAATATAAAGAAAGATTTGGTGGAGAGATTAAATTTTGTTAATCCTGTACGTGAACGTGTAGTATTCAACGTGTCCTCTGTGGATTGGTTTTCCTTTGTGATATTTACTTTCCCGATTGCGTTTAAATCTATTAGAAAACAGTTGTAATTAGTTGCAGTTTGATTTTTTAGTTTTTTGTTTGTATTTATATATTAAAATCAAATCTAAGCTAAGATTCGCGGCTGTTGGCTGACGGTTTGACTTAGTATTTATGGCCAACTCATTTCAACATGAATAGTTACTGCTTTTCATATAAACTGAGTTGGCACCAAAGTAACAGGTCAATCCGTCAGCCGACATTTGAATTCGCGATTGCTACCTTGGAGCTTTATGTTTTCCCAGTGCATAATTACCTTAATTGGGTATTTTTCAGGCACCAACGACGAAGGAATATGATCGGACCCAAGGACACGGGGAAATATTGGTTTGGATGTTCTGAACCTCCAATTCAGACCTTTGCACTGCAACGTTCGAATGCTGAGGAGTAAAAGCGAAGTCCAGCTACAAGGTCAACAGACTAGAGAAGATTGTCATACCACAGTACCTGACTATGACTTTCCACAAAATAATTCTTAAACTCAAAATATAAAATTAGCCTAGTTTGTTTGTTTAAGTTAAGCATATATATATAAGTTAAGCACATATTTGAATAAATTGTGTAGACCTCAAATGGTGTATGTCATTTAAAATAAATAAAAGTTGGGTATTTTCATTTTGCATATCTAAAATGTCAAGGTTTACCTACAAATCCAACTCAGCGCATGTTGATTGGAAAATCGGTGTGGCATGGTCAACGGTCAATTTTTCTGGTGCTGGATGAAAAGTGGCGGGGCAAATAAGGTCTCCTTGGCCAGTGGTCAAAAATACAATCTAAAGGAAACGTGCGATGAAATCAACAAATATCGGTAGAGAGAGCTGCCTGTGCCGATGGACACTGGGTTGGTCATATACAAGCAAGATGGTCAGAATAATCACAGAGTATCCCTTTACATAAGGATAAAATTCCTAGTTTGGCATTTTCGATTTGGATCTCTGATACAATAAAAAAACACATTCTAATCATTCTCATTGAGGGCATCATTGCATTCAAATATGATTGAGTGTATGTATTTCTGTCGTGAATTCAAGTTGTCTAGATTAGACTGTCCACTATTTTGTATCCTCCAAACATTAAAATATCATCTTGGGGAAAAACATTTTAGATTATTATTTTGAGAAATGAAAGTACTTAATAGAAGCGTTTAGATCATCGTTATCTAATTTTTGAATCATTTCAATTGTCTTTGTAAAACTTTATCAAGCATGTGTTGGAGGATACAAAATGACTTTACAATGATGTGAAATATAAATGTACAATCAAAAGTTAGTTTTATTCGTATTTTTATGTTTATATTTTAATTACAGCAAAGTATGAGTCATTGCCAAACCAGGAAACAATATATTTCACTCTCAGTTTCATATCATGTTATAACTTTGTGGGAATAGCGATGCATGATATTGGTGACGTTGATGTTTCTCATTCGCTCATTGCCAACAATGTGTGTGTTTTCATGATATTATATTTTGAATGCCGTTTGTCGTTCCTTATGATGAATGTTTGTCCTTTACCCGAAATGATAAATGCTGTTACTTGCACAATCTTAGTCATTGTAAGTGCCAGAATACTTTTATATCGATTCCAATGAAAATGATTTCATCCATTGTAATCTTTAATATTTCATACATGCCAAAGGATTAATATTGGTAATAAAACTTTCTTTTAAAAATATAGAACATGATTTCTATTATGACCGCCGGTAATAATTCAAGTGCAGATAAGTAAAAAATCGACTTGGGCAAGGCTACATCTAAACATACATATGTATATAACTGAAATATTAAGGTACCATAAATAGAAACTTCTTCAAGAATAGTAGAAATAAACGGAAAATTGGGTAGGAAGCATTACTACTTGATGCTTGACATTGTGTCTAAACGACGATTATGTTCCAGGGATTTAACGCATTAATTCAATTATTAATCTTGTATTATTTTATTGAGTGATATTACTTAAATATTGAAACTCAATATTAGGATTTGTCTATGGTTGTGTACACCACCATTGATATCCACCATTTGATCAAAGTCATATTCATGCAAAATTAATCAAATGATCATGAACACCCTTGGTATACGCAGCTAACGAAAATTGACCGGCACGGGTCAAAAGCTGGACCGGCACGGGTTAACGGTTTTATTTGAATTTAAAATAGCCATAACTTGCTCAATAATGACTTCCTCGTGTCTAATTTGAAATATATGATGCCTCCCGATGCTTTTAAGTACCCCAATTCTTTACAGATTTTTAAACGGACCAAAACTCTAAATGCGCATTTATGCTCTTTTCTCTCGAGAACGGCTGTCTCATTTTCACGATAACTTTTATTTAGTACTTCTAACATATAAGATCTATTTTTCCCCATCAAGGTATGATGTAAATGACATGCCATTTACATCTTGTGAGTTTCAATGACGCGCGTTTGATTTTATAAAAAATGCCAAACTTTGTGACAAAGAATTTCATCCTGCTTGCAGTGAGAAGACGGACCGGTTCGGGGCAATCTGCTTGCAGAGAGAAGACGGACCGGTTCGGGGCAATAGCTGATGAAATTCTTTGTCACAAAGTTTGGCATTTTTTATAAAGTCAAACGCGCGTCATTGAAACTCACAAGATGTAAATAGCATGTCATTTACATCATACCTTGATGGGGAAAAATAGATCTTATATGTTAGAAGTACTAAATAAAAGTTATCGTGAAAATGAGACAGCCGTTCTCGAGAGAAAAGAGCATAAATGCGCATTTAGAGAGTTTTGGTCCGTTTAAAAATCTGTAAAAAATTGGGGTACTTAAAAGCATCGGGAGGCATCATATATTTCAATTTAGACACGAGGAAGTCATTATTGAGCAAGTTATGGCTATTTTAAATTCAAATAAAACCGTTAACCCGTGCCGGTCCAGCTTTTGACCCGTGCCGGTCAATTTTCGTTAGCTGCGTATACCAAGGGTGATGAATGTCTGCGATTTTTTTATAGAAATTGACTTTGTTGAACACCCACAACTCTTTATGTCCTGACTTTTGTAGACCTCAAAATAAATCGTTCGAAATGATATATAGATGGAACCAACTGACACGCATGCTAAATATTCTAATCCCAATGCTAGACCAGAGGGAATATAGAATAAACACAAAGATTTAATAAAAACGCGAAATAAGAAATTGAAAACATTTAATATCTTGATAACTTATTTTTGTTATAGGAGTTCCTTAATCAAGATCTGTTTTAAAACAGAAACATTGTAATTAACAAGTAATCAACAAAATATGTACATGTTTTAAAGCTTTGTAGAATATTGTATTTGTTTATACCATATGCATGTATTATGTACAGGGTGACCCAAATACTATGTAACCCACAAATAAAAACTTCCATAACTTCGATTCACATTGTACGAATTACTTGAAATTTGGCACAAGTAAATTGCATTTCATACCTATCAAGTCCATATACCTGAATCAAGACTGACAAGAAAATTCAAAAATGTTTCATCATCGTTTACAGAGGTACACTCCCCTCCATAAGTTTGGCAACCTTAGCTCCCCCATTGAACTACGTGTTAAATAAACTTTTGATTTTTATTTACTTACCCTGCGATGAAAATACTTATACTATCAATGGAAACGTAATTTGACTTAATACCTCCACATTTTCTCAATTATTTTCCTCAATTACAATAAGTCGAAAATTGATGATAAATTTGATGAATTTTTGTAAATCGACATTTCCATGTTAACCAATGAGAAATGGTAAGTTTGCTGCAAGTCATATGACAGAATATCATTCCATCCGAGTCCTTGCAAAAATACGAGTTAGGCAGGCAATTGAATTTGCTAACTTTATTTAACAAAAATATTGATATGTTTCTTCAGGTTCAACTAAGTTATAGGGCTTTAAAGTCAAAATTGTTTTTCAAAAAACCTCTCCCATTGAAATAACACAGGAGGCGAAAAATCATTTTCAAAAATGACTGAAGGAATGCTGTAACTTTAGTATTCATCAAATAAGCCAAACACTTAGTGTACAAAAAAAGTTTTTCTATATAATTTTTTTTGCTGAATCTTTTACTTAAAAGATATCCTGATTTCTGATTAGCCCCGAACCCTCCATTTCCCATTGGATTACATGGGAATGACGATTTTCAAATTTATCATCAATTTTCGACCTCTTTTCGACCTTATTTCATCGCCGTATTAAGTAAATAAAAATTCAAATGTAAAGAGGCTTTAACACGAAGTTCATGGGGAGCTAAGGTTGCCAAACTTATGGAAGGGAGTGTATTACAAAAATAAGGGCTTGATTTTTGGGTCTACCCTGTCACAACAATTTTGAAAAAAGCCTAAAACCTGATTTACATCATACATTGCATACTATATGCTAAAATATATAGTAACTCTGGAAGCATGGAATAGAGATTAAAAATCTCACAGCTAAATCTTCTGATGTCAGCAATTAGCCTAACTATCATATATAGGTCAGAGTGTTCTCACCTTAAAAATATTCAATGATGATATACAAAAGTGCTATTATGTAGTATTGTAGACCCCGTCCTCTAAAGCTAGCCGCACACCAATGGGACATGTCCGGACATCAAGGGAGTTATTGAGTAAAAATATTATCATGGGACATGAAGGACCCAGACATTGTCCCAGGTTGTCCCAAGTTGTCCCCGAGACATTGTCCCAAGTTGTCCAATTTTGTCCAAGTTGTCCCTTTATGTCCCCAAAAAAAGAATGAACATATGTTAATTCTTTTCGAGGGACGTTACCGGACAAATGAGGGACATTCCATCACGTGATGATCAATTGATCATATGACCATTTTCGGACAATATGGCGCCATATTCCAGACATCATCGGACTAAATGGGACAACGTCGGACATTGTCCCATGATATCCGGGGGACAAGAGCGGACACGTTGGGACAAACCGGACAAAGGGACAAAATAAAGTCGGACAATGTCCCATTGGTGTACGGCTAGCTTTATCTACGTCAACACAAGGTGGAGAAGTGTAGTTTGAGGGGAGGTATTATGTTTCTTGATGTAAATTTGTTTATCCTACTGTTAATGTATTAATAGTACAATAACGTCATTTCAAAGGGCAATATTAAACAAATACTGGATGATCAGGAGCTGGATATGGCAGAATACCTATTCGAGAAAAAATATTGGGCGAGGCGGTACTGGTAGCCGAGCCCAATATTTTTTCGAGGATAGGTATTCTGGCCATATCCAGCTCCTGATCATCCAGTATTTGTTTTATTATGCACCTCCCAATCAAAGTTAAGTGGAGTACTTACTGGAGTACAGGCTTAAACTGTCGTTTAGTTGACATTATTTTGACATTTATTTATTTTTTCTTTCAAAACTCAGACGACTTCCGGCCAGTTTATTCGCTACAATGGACGAAAATATTTGCCCCGGGAATTTAATTGTTATTTATTCGAGACGTTCTTGCAGAATTATATGTAACTTTTGAATGATAAGGGTAATTGTGATTGATTAAGTACATTTTTTCTTCTATTTTCCGCCAGTTTCAGATGTAAGCTTTAAGTAGTACTCCAGTTATTAAGAAATAAAACTCTGAAGTGGGAATGTTGCAAAAACATTGAAAAAAATATCCGACCCTTTTTCTCGAAAGGGTCAGATATTAAAAAAATATCCGGCAGTTTTCAGAAAAGAGCAGAGTATTGCCAAATTACAAGCAACTAAGAACCAATCAGATTTGAGTTTTTTAATGAGGTGCATAATAAAGTGAAATATTGGACCAAGGGCCGCAGGCCCAAGGTCCAATATTTCACTATTTTGCCCGCAGAAATGACGTTTTTACTTACTATTATTACCACCGTTAATGACCAGGGCTGAAATAGCAAATTTGAAATAGAAAATCTTACGCACTGAACGATATCACTTTTCCCGGGAAACATAGCCGGGAGGATAATGTCATTATTGCCCGACTAAAGTCCTTAACGCCCGACACAATATTGCTCACGTCAATATAGCAATTTAAATGCCTTCTCAACTAGTACTAAAACCCCTAGAACAGGCCCTGCAAGGTGGTAATAATGTATAATAACACTAAAAAATAAATTTGATATCTATTGGCAAAATAAATAACTGGAAGATACCTCTCGTGCAGATATCAATATCACCTTGTATATAAAAATGATCTTCCTCAAAATCATAGGATATCCTATAAATATCCCGGGGTACGTTAACTATGGATGGCGCCAAAATTGTCACTTACAAATTTAATACTTATTCAAACTCTATATGTGATTATATATGTAACTTACTTCATAACCTGAAAAAAAAATTTGAGTAAGGGCAATCATGACGTCATAGTTAGCAGTAGAGAAAACATGACTTCTGAGAATTCCCAACTTTAACACAGAATTTGTGGTAATAACATCAAGCCAGGTGTAATGTGTTGTATAAAAAGTTACACAGCGCCTCTCGGGATTTTCTCTCTAGTGAGTGTATAAGGGTTATGTACTTGGAGATTTTGGATACAGGGTTTATACCAAAGGAAATATGTGTATCTCCCGAGGGACCACAGGGACAGAGGATACCTACAGAGGTTCTAGGTACATCATACCTTATAAAGATCCAAAATTCCAAAATATACTTACACGTTTTCTTGGTCTTAAAGTTTGCGAGATTTTCAAAAAAGAAAAAAATTTTTTTTTTAAATTGGAAGAAAATGTGAAAATTAATATTGAAAAAAATTGAAAATGTTTTTTAAAAAAATGTGTGTTAAAATTGTTTTTTAATTTGAGAAAAAGCCGGGCTTTGGTGATAGCTCCCTAGATACACTATATATTCCCGCTCGTTATGTACCTAGAACCTCAGTAGGTATGAACAACAATATTATTTTTAAGTGAGTTCATATGATTTTCAAATAAGTGCAAGTCCAATCATGGAAAAAGAGGATTAAGTTAATGGCAATGCTTAAATGTATCGCTGCAGCGTTGGTTCGAATGCTAAATTGGGTAGAAGGTTTGAAGAAGGGATACACGAGATGCTGAATATATTCTTGATAAAGGCAGAGGAGGCTGTAAAGACTGTATAAAAGGCCGGTGATTCTACTAATAGGAGTGGTAAAAACGGATATAAGGCAAGTTTGGCTGCTTCTATAATTCCAAAGGACACGTCCATGGACAACAGATTTAGGTCAAATAACTGCAACTTATCTGACGGCGACACTAATTTACGAATAATAAATATTTGCATAGTTATCTTTCCTCAAAGAAGCAAGATTGGCTACGTGTATCTTCCCTCATCCAAAAATGAGAAAAGATGGCTGCATTTCGTAAAAGATGAAAATTCCATTTGTATCCTTAATACACTGTCTGAATCATCATGTATGATCTAAATCTTCCAAATTAACCAACAACTGCTTTACTAACAATGGTTCCGGGCTCACACTTGAGCATTTATCTTTCCATATCCAACACTGCGCATACTATTCAGCAGTGACGTAAAGTACTACACCGATAACGACAAAAATAGTTAACACCATTCCAAATATACTAATCAAGCACGAAATCCGACCTTGTTTAATGGCCTCCTTTTGCTCTCCCTTTTGAAAAGAAGAGAATGATGCGAATGAAAATAACATTGCAACAATCCCCACAGGGCAATTGAAGCACAAAGTCACAACAACAGCTACCGTTAGGTAGGTCTCCGGCAGCAGCTTCACATCTGCTTCATTTAATTCTTTCTCACTATCCATCATTTTAAATGTAACAGGTTGACTTTCAATATCAATTTTTTCCTTTTTCGGCTTGGTTTTTTGTTGGGTAACAGGTTGGGATGTAATAGTCTTTTCCGTCGGTGGAATCTCTTTTTGTTTATCAACATGGTTCTGAATCGGCGTATTCGGTGTAGTACGCGATGGTGGGAGGGGTTCCTTGATGTTTTTGAACTTTGACTTTGTATTTTTATGTGCTGGTGTCCTTTGATGAGCATGTATGACATATGTTGAGTTAATAACTGGCGGTGTGCATTTCAACTCCTTCGAATTATCTGATTGCTCTTGCGGATGACTCATTGGAATAGGTGTGGAGTAGAACAGTGGTTGTTGTTCGTTTATCATTGGAAGAGGTTTCCTTTGGTAGTTTTGGAAGATCTTCTGTTGTGGAAAATTGTTTGGCTGTTGCTTCCATATACTGTTACTGTCAACATATGGTCTGAAAATAAAATAAATATTTTGAGTAAAATACTTTTATACTGTATAAATAGTCTTGCTTCAGGACTCTTAACTCCTCCCCCCCCCCCCATCCGCCTATCTACTCCACCAACAACTTGTGGGAGCGATGTAGTGGGGGAGGGGCTCATAATAGCTTGTAACTAGATTTTATAGTACAATACGATACTTACACTTCTTTCTTTATCGTATTTCAATGTAAACATTTAAAGTCTCGCCATTGACACATTTATATTGACTGCTGATGCTATTAAGGAGTTTGAAAATCATCCCGAACTAATGCACAAAGTTGTTACTGTAACATACAATCTAATTATATGGAAGTTATTGATCTCTCGTCTTATTCTTGGTCACCTTTGTCATTATTTTATAGAAGAGCCGATTATAGATGTTGTTAGGGGAATGTTCACTCTCTATTTATAGCCCCTATTTACTGCTCATCTGCCTTAGTATTCCCTTTATACAAAATCGATGATACTTAAAATCAGGAGCAATGATATAATGCAATTATAAGTCTTTGGCTAATGGAGACATTGTTCATGTAGAAGATGTTGAAACAAAGAAAAATTGGATTCCGCATGCCTTGTTTAGTATATACATTTTTTATAAAGTTCTACACCAGCTTGTGAATATTTGCTTTCATGATGATACAAACATGACTTATAATCTTCAACCGTGTGATATTATCCAAAGCGAATATTGATAATACGTCGATGGGACTGCTGTTGCATGCTGTTTCCTGTAGAAACACATCCATCATTTGAAACTTTGACTTAGCATGAAATTGAATCCGACTGTATCATTAACAGTAGAAAATTGACGTTATACCTTTGCTCATCCGAATGTAATTTCAGTTATTCCAAGTCGTACCAGTAATCAATCAAATTAGATGTGTTTTCCTGCTAAGCTCTCGTCCTGCTAATCCATACTAAAGACTTTCTTAGACAGGCTAAGCAAGATCGGATGTTTCATGAAGATGCATTGTATTAAAACCACTAGAGCCATTCATAAAAACCCACTATCTACTGTGTCTAACGCACATAGAAACAATGTATTTTACCCTTCCACACCAATGTCAATATGTCAATTCTCAAGATCGCAAGTCCATTGGGCATTTCATTCATACCGTACCGAAGTCATTAAAATACATGGAGTACAAAAGAATTACTATTGAAATACTCTCCAATGCTCTTGGCATCGACAATATTCGTAATAGTGATAAAGGAATTGACAAATATTTGAAAATTACCTCCTGTTCAAGTTCCAATCATTTTTATAGATTATATTGATAGATTTAATATCACTGAATATGGTATTGCTTGTTGAGGATCACACAACATTACCATTTATCTTTTATTTGAGATTTAAGCAGGGGTCCATTTTTTAAGAAAATATCGTTTTAAAAGATTTCTTGTGAATAGATAATAAATAAGTACAAAAAGCATGAATTATTATATATCAAGAGCATAATGTAAAATTTCAACTGAAAAATTAGATCAAAATGGAATCCATGTTCACAGTGGGGGGTATAACTCATCAAACACTGGATAATTTTTTTAAAGCTTATTGTTACAGCCTTATGTTTTGAATTTGCTTTTTTACTTAGGATTATAGCATTGACCATTTATGAATTTTTGAGCACCATACAAAGTTACAGAACTTCATTTATGAACGATTTTAGCAGGGGTCTATTTTACAAATATTAAATATTTTTCCGGATAGTTCTTAGATGAAAAGCTAGTACATTGTTATGATTAAAATACATCATTGAGGTGTATAAATCATGAAAACAGGTTTCATCCTGATGTCTTCAACCTAATTCGTATAACGCCATGTCACAAATGGGGGAGGGGACATTGACCTCCACTTGGGGATCTTTATTACTTATATGATTTCAATATTACAGTAATGTCGGTATCATTATAAACAGGCATTAAATAAGTGTAGACTATTATAAATACGTTGACAGCAAGAAGATTTATACAATTTAAACTGTAAAATGAGATAACAATGGGCTCTAAAATCACAATGATTGGTGTAACTAATCAAATTTTTACTTTATAAGCTTAGTATCATGTCCTAACAATTTAAATTGATTTCAAATAGTTATCCCATTGAATGAAGTTCGGAGGGATATAGGGAACGGGCCTCCGTCCGTCCATCCGTCTGTCCGTCCATAGGTAAGTCCGTTCGGGCAATAACTCAAATACTATTGGCCTGATTTTGTTCATATTTTGTACACATATACCCTATGGGGGTAGCAGTTCTGCTTGAAAGCTGATTTTAAAAATTTTAGTGCCGATTTTACAGTAATCTAGGTGCAATATGTAAAACTGTAATAGCAATGTCTTTTAAATGAAAAAAAATTATATAGGGCATTAATGAAGCTAGAAATGTAGATATTAAAGAACCATATGGCAGCCATCTTGAAAAATGGTGGCCTTTACTTGTTATTTTACGATTTTTGCTGTAACTCGAAAAGTAGTGGAGTGATTTCGTTCATATCTGGTATGTGAATACTAATAAGCATGACACACTGTCTAATGACACTTTTGGTAGAAGGCGGCCATTTTAAACGTAGCCGCCATTTTAACATATTTTACTATAACTCGAAAAGTTGTGGAACGATTTGGATCATCTCTGGTATGTGATTACTATAAACATGGCACACTGAATTTTTTGAATATCTTAAAGTGCTTCAGATTTTCATTTATTGAAGATTTAATTCAAGATTAATTCAAAAAGATGAATATATTTTTGGATAGTTCTCAGATCAATTACTATTATCACCACCTTGCGGGGCATGTTTTAGGGGTATTAGTGCTAGTTTAGGTGGCATTTATGTTACTATATCGACCTGAGCAATAATTCTAACAACGTCATTTCTGCGGGCAATCTTAAACAAATACTGGATGATCAGGAGCTGGATATGGCAGAATACCTATTCGAGAAAAAAATATTGGGTGTGACGGTATTAATTAATTTCAATAGAAAGTTTGGGTTCTAGAATTGCCTCATGAGAGTCTATTTTGTACTAAATAAAATAATCAGGGTAAACGCTTTTCTATTACTAAAGTTATCTGCTTGTAGAGATGCTTGTAGAGCCTGTATCGCAAAAATCATATATCCTTTCACCCCACATCATATCATATGCTTTATTGATGTTAAAATCCTTTTTTATAAATAGTGGGAATAAATTTCTAACTCATCTTAGATTATGATTTAAATGCAATATCATATGCTATCAAATGCTTTTTCCAAGGTTTTAAAATGTAAACAGTGCTTAGTTTCAGTGCTCAAAAGGTGAAAACGTACGTAGGAATATAGGCAGAAACAATTTGCAGATCAACGAAAACAAGATTGTGTTTAAAGAAAGTGAACTAAATGGAACCATTATTTTTAATCCTGTTGAATGCAAAATATAGTCAGACAGAGATATTATTTTCAATTAAACAGATAAAATCAATATATCATGATACTGTAATGACCTTTCCAAAAGCCGATTCATAAGTGGAAAATTCGTTGTTAACTTCAAAAGTGTCAATATCTAATATTTTTCATTATCATGGACCTCTGTTAAACCACTCAATGATAGGTAAATGGTAATGTTGACAGGTCCTCAACGGGTGAAAACGTATGTAGGAATATATGTTTTATCATTTAAACATATCATTAACAATTGGCGGATCAACGAAAAACAAGATGATGTTAAAAGAAAATGAACTAAATGGAACCATTATTTTTTATCATTTTGAATGCAAAATATAGTCAAACAGACGATCTTAGTTTCAATTAAACAGATAAAATACTAATATTAATAACCTTTCCAAAAAACTTCAAAAATATCAAAATCTAATATTTTTTATATTTTTTGTGAACCCCTATTAAACCCCACAATAATTAATAAATAAGTTTATTGGTCTCTTGAACATCTAATGTACATCGAGATAAAATCAATATGTTATACTAGTAAACTTTCCAAAAGCCAATTAAATACTAGATAATCTGTTGTAAACTTCAAAACTATCAAAATCTAATATTTTTGTTGACCCCTCCCTCTTAACCCCTTAATTATAAGTAAACGGTAAAGTTCTCAACAGGTGAAAATGTATGTGATAATATATGTTTTATCATTTACACATATCATTTAACAATTGGCGGATCAACAAAAACAAGATGATGTTTTAAAAGAAAGTGAACAAAATGGAACAATTATTTCTAATCGTTTTTAATGCAAAATATAATCAGACAGACGATCTTATTTTCAATTAAACAGATAAAATCAATAGGTCGTGCTAATAACCTTCTCAAAAACCGATTCATGAGTAGATAATCCTTTGTAAACTTCAAAAATACCAGAATCTAATATTTCTATTTTTGTGGACCCCTGTCAAACCCCTCAATAATAAGTAAATGGTAATGTTGACAAGTGCTCAACATGTGAAAACGTATATAGGAATATATGTTTTATCATTTAAACATATAAAAACAATTGGCGGATCAACAAAAACAAGATGATGTTAAAAGAAAGTGAACTAAATGGAACAATTAATTTTAATCATTTTAAATGCAAAATATAGTCAGACAGGTGATCTTATTTTCAATTAAACAGATAAAATCAATATGTCATGCTAATAACCTTCCCAAAAACCGATTCATAAGTAGATAATCTGTTGTAAACTTCAAAAATATCAAAATCTAATATTTTTCATTTTTTGTGGACCCCTGTTAAACCCATCAATAATAAGTAAATGGTAATGTTGACAAGTGCTCAACAAGTGAAAACGTATGCAGGAATATGTGTTTTATCATTTAAACTCATCAAAACGATCGGAGGATGAACAGGAGGAAACAGCTTAATTAAGGCTTATCTGAGAAATTCCATTATCACTATAAATACTAAACAGAACTTGTGCAAGATGTATTGGCGAATTCAGAAGCTAACAAGGGAGTGGCCCGCATTTCAAGACAGAAAAAAGTCCG